CATCAGCGCGACAGCCTTGCACCGAGACCGAAAGGCCGTCTGCAGCTGCATGTACGGTGGAGCTCTTATCGACTCCTGCGACGAGGTCTCCCTTTCGCCTCTGGGTCTTAGACCTAATTTCTGCTTTCAAATGCGTAACCACAATGCTATACTCGTCTCGGAAGCTAAATTCATCAGTGACACCAGAGTCGGGATTCACTAATTTGACAAGCAAGTAAGGGGCCCTGATGGCAATGCTGGTGCTTTTCCGCGGGCTTTTCATCGATTTTTCATATGCCACGATGTCTGAAATAATGTCCTTTTGGAGAGAGTCAATGATATCGCTCGGGTGATTCGGCTGCAGTTTCTCAACCAATGCAGACACGACGTGAAGAAATTCAGGAGAGCAGAAGCCCCTGATACCAAGTGGCAACTCTATAGCGAGACTTGTATGGGTCGTTCCGTTACTTTCAGGAGAGAACGGATGGCCAAGTTTGACATCAGCATAGTCACTTTGTACTGAGTTAGCACGCGAGGCAGGTCGTTGAGGTAATTGGGAAGTATCCAATTTTATTTTGTGAAGGGAAAACGCTGGCATAGACCAGGGGCTTGATGCATCATCGATTCCAACTGAAGCAGCCTCAGAATAGTCTTGGCCAGCGCGTTGCCGATTGGCATTCCTGCCGTGAACTGTTGATTGAGAAGAATTTACATTCGTTCTTTCTGCGAGCGGGGATTCCACATAATTAGAGCTGTAGGGTTGCCTTCTGCGGCCGCTCTTCACACTCGATACCTCCGACGACACGAAAAAGCTCCTAAAGCTGCGGTTGCTTCCTGCTGTCGAGAGCCGGCGCAATGAGGACGTGCTACCGGTAACACTGCGGTAATTGCTGACTGGCTCGGGCATGGTAGGTATGGCAATTGTAGGTGAAGACATTTCGTCCCCAGCCACCTGTAGTGAGCGAGGTTCAATGTCTTCCCAGTCAAAGATTAGCCAAGGGGTGCGTTGTGTTCTTTGATCATGAAGCTTAACATGCTCCTGCTGTAGTTTGCGGCTTCCGCGGGCATCTGCTTTCTGCTGCACCATTCTGAGATTCAGAGTAGACTCGATCAGAGCAAGAGGGGTTACGGTTTGGTCAGGCAAGCTTCCAGACGACTCCATGAACTTGTAGTCAATGGCAGCAATCGAGAGGCCGGGAACAAGTAGGCTCATGCGCTTTGAAAACCTCGTGTTCGCCCAATCATTGAAATTCGTTGTCACGAGACCAGTACTCAAGACCAAAGCTGCCCGTTCCAGGAGGATGGAAATATGAACGGCCTCAACCTTGGCTCGTAGAAAAGTAACATCATGGAGCTGCAACGGATTTAATAGCGGAAGTGCGTTCTCTTCATTGTCGAATGAAAAGTCGAAGCTCTTGAGCGCTCCAGTCAAGCAGCCAAGGAAATCCGTCGAACATTCCCCGATGATACGGCCAATATCGAAGTCCCAGTTGCAAACATACGTTGGTTCTGCGGGGGGAAGACCAAACAAACGATGACCATAAACAGACACGCCGTCAATGAATAGCTGCGTGTCTGATACGGTAGGCGGGCTCGCGGATCTGCTTGATTCTAAGGCTGCTTTTAGCGGTGCAATAGAGAAATGTAAATCCATGTAATAGTTTGTGAATCGTAAATCCGCCTCCAAGGACGCAGCGGTAAGCTTGATGCAGTTCGATTGATCATAGATGTTCTCGGGAAGAAGAGCGTAGGGGTTATCAACAGTGACGTGCACAATCACGTCTAGGTCATTCGATTGCCTGTGAGGGTTGGCCCCAAGCTGGGTTCCGGCGTCTTCCTGTGGGTAGGCGAGCTCCTGATATTCCTCTAGCGTCTTGAAGTGCATCTCCTCGCCGAAGTAGTTCTCTTTGATGGTCATGAAGGACCGAACCAGGAATCCGAAGAGGTAGAGTTTGGGAGAAAAGCCGTCAACGTTCAGAACCAGCGTATCCACCAATTCAGAAGATGTAGTAAGGTAATAGTTGTACACGCCGTCGATAGTCAGCTTCTCCAGTGCGGCAGTGGATTTATTCGCTAGAAAAGCGTGCATAGTATCCCAAACGGGGGTCAAGTAGTCAATACCAGCGTTCCCCAAGTTGACATCGAAGGAAATAGCATTTTCCTCAGGTCTATACTTATTCAAGGGGATGGTGATGTTGGAGGTCATCTTATTGCCCTTGATAGCCAATGTGCGATTGTCATCCAAGTCAGACGGATTGTTGACGATGTTCATATCATTAACGTTCAGGAACAACTGGAAATTCGAGAAAGACAGGCTCATCTGATAGATAAAGGGGACAAATGTGCTATACTCCGGAGGTGGCCCGGATGCCCAGTCGGAAACAAGGTCAGTGATAAGGAAGATATGATCTCGCAGCAAGAACAGCTCCATGTCATCGCTGTGGATATCGAATTTCCAGGTACGCATGCTATTCCAGGAGAGAGGAACGGACAGGTCGCAAGCGATCAGTTGCCTTGGACACTGCCACAGTAAGGCGTGATTGACACTGGACATCAGCTTAGTCTCTCGGAGGTCAAGATCAAGCCGGCTCTGAAATCCTGATGTAGAAGCTAACATATCCATGCTGTAGCGGATCGTTGAGTCACCAGCCACACGAAGCGACAACCACCCAAAAGGTCGTCTATCTGGACCAATATGACCTTTTTCTCCTTCTGCGCCACGCGACTGCCTCCTACTGTTTTGTTTCTTTAGCTTCGAAACACCTCTTATTGTATCAGCACGGCCTTTCCATTGCCAGTCTTTCGATGGCTCCCTAGTAGGAATTCGCAGTGTAAGCTCATCATTAATCTCAACTCTTAAAGTAAACAATGTGGTCTTTCTTGTCTCTCCAGGGTTCAGAGGTTCGGACGGCTCCGGGCTCCGAAACGCATTTGGAAAAAACACATTTTGCAGACCGACTCGCTCCCTATCAGCCCAGGGGCCATAGTTGATAGTGCCGCCATTGACCTTGACATCTATACCCCATTCTGGAGGCGGGGCTCTGTTGATTCTCCATGTCGCATCCGGCAGCGATGACAGTTCCGAAGGTGGAAAGGCCTTGACACACCCTGGAACGTCCCAGTAGTAAGCTACAGACATTCCAGGACTGTCAAGGATCGTCGAAAATCGACCATACTCAACAGGGCTCCACTCCTCGTGGTCATCTTGCGCGCTTTCGTCCAGGTATCGCGAAAGTCCAACCCAGCGCGTATCACTGCCCAAATCGATGGAATTCCTAGGTCCAGGATCGGCATGCTTCTGATGCACATGAAAAGACTCCACCGACGTTTGAAAGTAGGGTATCAAATCACGGATACTGTGCCAGACTCGTCGTTTCTGGAGCCTGTAGTTGAAGATAGGATTTCGCTTGCGCTTCGTTCCGGCTTGGTCTTCTTCGGCCGACCCAAGACCCTTTGCAGCAGCCAGCTGGTTCTGCTTGAAGTCTGGATTTGGACGCATCTGAATCACCGGGTGGCTGAAGTTGAAGGAGAACACCTGTCGGTACAAGTCGAGCGCGCCAGCATTGCAGGCCTCGATCAAACCAGTAGCACTGTCGAAAGTGGTCGTCAAAACCGATCTCGTGTTCTCATTTCCCATGACAATGGCACCCTTGTCACATTCCAATCTTATAGGCAAAAGTCGTAGGAACCGTACTATGCCATCCCCCAATTCCTGCTCCGACCCAGCCGTGCCCTGCGATCCAGGTGTATCTGGCCTCCCTTGGCTTTCGGCGCGAGCAGATCCGGCCACGGATGAATCCAGATCACCTTCCTTTAAGCTCGGATCCAGCGTGTCGCTCTCGGGATATTGTGGTTTGGTAGCCGAAGAAGACGAATTCGATGGATCGAATCCCGCCAAGATGCCCTCGTAGGCAGGAGCCCGGTTGTATATGAACCACTCGAGACCATAGACCTTTGCGGTAATGCGACAAGGAAGAGAATCCGCATTCTTCGGTCCGCCTTGTTCCCCACTGTCTGTTTTTCTGCCATCGGCATCGCCCGCGACTCCGGCGTCATGTTCTCTTTGCGCTGCTCGATCATTGCAATCCAGGCCCGCCACATCCGTCCGTCTCACGGTGCGTTTCCAGTAGTGCCAGGTAATAAACCCCCCGTGTACAAAGATAGTCTCGTTCACACCGTGGTATCGGATACCTTTGAAGAAAACCCTCCCGCCCAGGGGCGAGATCTGCAGGGCCCGGATGTCGACATAGGCGCGGTAGTAATGCCAGGTATACGCGCGGATGCCGTAGGAGACGAGGGTTGCGAACAGTCGATTGAAGTAGAGCAGGAAGAAGAGCACGCTTGGTGAAGTAATTAGTAGCCCGGTCTCCGCGATCGCACGGGTCGAACACTCACAGAATACAGGAGACAATGAGTTCCAGTAGGAAGAACCTATACCGTTTGTTATTTTTTTGAGCAGAGAATTACTGCATCGATGATACCAACCAATTGAAGCTTGGATCCGGGGTCAGGGATAAAGAAGTTAAACTTGTGCCGGCCATGTTCGCAGTCACCAAAACCGTTCACCACCAGCGGACATGGTGACGCCGCAAAACAGGCAATGCGATGCGCCCGCGGCAGAGTCCAAGCAGGGACAAATGTCCCACAGCCGGTTAGGATAAGGATTCAAGCTAGATGTCCATGAACGGAAAAGCCCTGAAAGTCTGCTTTTGAGTGCGGTGAGATTTAGCGACTGCGACTCCTGGTATGGAGTAGGATAATCAGTAAACTGAAATTCATTGAGGTAGTTGGATTGAATGTACTAGTAGTTAATTGTACTGAACGAACGGAATAGTAATCGAAAGTACGGAGTACGTAGGGGGCAGAAAGGAGCTTGCCCCGAAGTGGGAGGTGGGCTGGCTAGACGGGACTAGTTTAGTCTAGGCGGTGTCTGGGCGGTGTCTTCCTAGAGTCGGGGGGGAAAAGAGGAGCTGGCCAGGAGGAAGAGGAGCAATGACGGGACGGGGAACCAGTGATGGATAAGGAATGTCCCCATCCGTCTACGCAACTTCTCTCTCACCGCACAACACCCACACGACCACTGCTGGCTGCTGACCATCAGGCATGCGAGGGGCGCTTGTTTGACGACTACAAGGAATCGCTGGAAGATTTCTGATTACTATTCCATCTCTCACCCCGTTGACCGGATCATGCTCTGTTCGAAACATCATTGGGATTGACTTGCGGAATGCTTTGGCGGTGGTCGCATACATAGGCGTACGCGGACAATCAACCGCGACATTTGTTGACGATGAGCATCACCATTTCCTCCTTCGGTGGGACAGGCTCGAGTCTAGCTCGAGCTGTAGTGATAGTCGCAGGTGTATCCTCGCTGGTCGCTTCTCTGCTCTCTCTCTTGTAAGAAGACTCCCCTCCCCGTCCTCCAATGCTCCCCCCTCCCCCTTTGACCCCCAGGCAGACAGATATCATTACCATGGTTCAGATGCTAATCGCTTCACGCAATACAGGTCCATATGGCTCCAAACGTGCGCTATTACATTCGCTCATATCTCTATATTCGCGCGCTGATCGGTCGTTAGCAAAAACTATCGAAAACCATTACTCCAGCGTTATGTTGTCCGTATACTGTTGATGTGTGTATCCGCTTCGGCCTCGGATCTGAGTGGAGCTGACTGAGAGCTCAGGGTCCCCATATACGCGGTTTCATCATGGGCCAGCATCATATCTTTACAAGCAGCAATGTGGCTGGATCCGATCCGTGATGTCTATGAGGTAGATCTCTGTCTTCTGGTGATTCCCATCGTCACAGGCTAACAGCATATTCGGCAGGCATTTACCATCTATACGTTCTTCCAGTTGCTTATCAACTTTCTCGGCGGCGAACGGTCGTTGATCATCATGACCCATGGACGACCTCCTGTCCAACATGCCTGGCCCCTCAACCACATACTACCCAAAGTCGACATCTCTGACCCGCAGACCTTTCTCACCGTCAAACGCGGAATTCTTCAGTATGCCTGGCTCAAACCTATTCTGGCCATCATATCTATTGTAATGAAAGCGACCGATACCTACCAGGAGGGCTACCTAGGCCTGACCTCCGGGTATCTGTGGACCGGCATTGTGTACAACGTTAGCGTTACCGTCAGTCTCTATTCTCTAGCCATGTTTTGGGTTTGCTTGCATAATGATCTAGCGCCATTTCGTCCGGTGCCTAAGTTCTTGTGTGTCAAGCTTATTATCTTCGCATCTTATTGGCAGGGCTTCTTCTTGTCAATCCTGCAATGGCTGGGAGCGTTATCGAACGGGGTTGCCGGCTACACACCCGACAACCTTGCGGCTGCCATTCAAGACAGCCTGATCTGCTTTGAGATGCCCTTCTTCGCTCTCACGCATTGGTACGCTTTCTCCTGGCATGATTATGCTGATTCGACGATCTCCGCCGCCCGGATGCCCGTCAAATTCGCGCTTCGTGACGCATTCGGAGTCCGTGATCTTATTGAGGATACAAAGATGACGATACGTGGTGACAATTACGAGTACCGTCTTTTCGATTCAGGTGACCACATCATCGCACATGCAGAATCTGACTCGCGTGTCCGGCGTGTGATGCATGGTCTAAGATATGAACGTGGTGGTAAAGCCAAGTACTGGATCCCGACCCCTGGGGAAATCAACAGCCGGACACCGTTGTTGGCCGGGTCGGAAGGCAGCAGCCGGGACCGACGCAGTAGCACGCTGAGTCGCATGCATTCACACAATGAGATGGAGGAGACAACCCTGGATGAAGATGACGAGAGGCTGTTCAACAACGCTCGAGCATTGGAATTTGGGGATTGGAACGTAGGTCCCTTCACCCCCTTCACCGAGGAGATGTGGTCAGCTGACTGGAGCAGTACCCCGTGATCACCGCGAACGAGGTGCCAGCAGAGCAGCGCCTCGCACGTCAGCGAGCCTCACCACAGCGACAGACATCAGGGGTCGTAAAGAAATCCCGCAAGCAGAAGAAGCCGCGCCCTTCTAGTAGCGATAACAACCATCGTAGCGCAGGAGCCTCTCGCAGCCCGCGTGCAAGCTACGCTGAGCAGAGAGCCAACTCCGCGGCCTCCTACGCCTCTCAGCCAAGCCAAATCGTGGATCTGGTTGTCGAGGATCAGAAGGCTGAGGAGGAGGAACGACAGCTGGCGCAGAGGGCTTTTGGCTCCACAACGGTCGAGCCCGAACACCGGCACTTCCAGTATGTATCTTCTGTTTTAGCGAAGGGTATATGACACTAACAATCGACTGTAGGAGACCAACGGGCGAGCCGGTCGATGAACGGCATGGCGATGACTTTCACGCATTACTTCACCTCGAGGCAAATGATGAGGAAGAGGAATCCAGGAGACAGGGCTGGGCCTACGGGGACCTGGAAGAAGACAATGTTTGGAGCCGGTAGGTAGCGAAGAGCGAGCTTTATGACCAATGAAGTTGCATGTGTGGTGATTGCGCCAGGAAAACGCCAGGAAATAGTTTCGAGATCATTTTATTTATGTGATATGGAGGAAAGCTGTACTGTATAAAGATAAAGGGCTTGTACGATGATTGAAGAGGAGGAGGCTAGTGTACCCGAGCCATGTGCTTTTTTGATTAAGCCACGCTCTTTTTTTCTGTCAGGGGCATTTGCGTAACGAGCCCAGCAAGTGACGATGTGACGGGGTTTCCTGTCACTCGGGCTGCTGGTTGGTCGCCCAGCAAATGACGGCCGGCCATTACGCGCCCACCACGCTTTCTCCAGGATTGATAGGAGGACTGACATGGTCATCAATGATGGCTGATCGACAGCCCGACACGCTGGCGAGGACGAGGGGGGGGGGGGGGGAAGGAAAGGGACTTTTGCTTCCCCGCTATTGGTGTGCCTCATTTGATTAGGGCAACAGGAATGGCACCACGACCGTCACATCCTCTGCCTCATGCTGCCCCCTCATTAGTCCAAGGGAAATGGCTGATGCTCGAGCTTCTATCTGAAGCAATCCCGTAGTTTGTAGTTAGTCTCTTTGTGTCTTTGTGTTTGGGTCTCGGGGAGGAAGTTAAATCATCAGGTCTTTATCTTGCTGGTTCTTTGTCTGTCTGTTTGTCTGTCTGCCCTTCCCTTATTCCCTACTCCTTCTCTCTGTCTTCCTGGAGGCCTGAGAGAGGGTGCTTCTTGACTTTCCTTTCCTTTCTTTCCACCGCCCTCTGCGGTAGCTGGTCGCTGTCAACTTTATTACTCTTGCTTTCATTCACCTCTCGGATTCCAATTCTACAATAGTTCGTCAGCAGGCTTGTCTGACATCTCGTGTTTTCTATTTCACTTCTGCTTGGTCCCCCCCCCCCACTGTCTGTTCGCCGGATCCACTGGATGATGGACCAACACTTCTGATGCGCTGGCAGCCATGAAGCAGGCAATTGAACAAGCAGGATCTATGTTCACTGGCTGGATATCCTCCTGCTCGTTCTGTGTGCACGCCGAGAATGACGACGAGAGTTACCATCATCATCAAGAAGCCATGCAGCGCAAAGGTAATGTCTTACGTTCCATCGGTCTAGCCTTGAGCATATACCTTCCAAACACAAACACCAACAGCCCTAAGTCGGCTCCTCACAACCTTACCAAACAACACAACACAGCCGACCCAACCCACTGACTGAGAATATTCCCCATTCCCCTCCAGGTGCCGAACGGGAGATGAAGATATGCCATACCCAGCAACCGCGTCTCATTCCTCCGATGAAGCCCTTCGTCTACGATGAAGCTCCGACTCCACCACGCCCCCAACCCCGGACGCCATCCTTCCCCTCATGGATGCTCGAAAGCAAGAACCGCGCCAGCATCTCTCTGAAGAGGAAATCGACCGCCGCACCGCCCATCCGCATCAGCGCCCCGTCCGACTTCCGACGAGTGTCGACTTTCCTGCCTGACGCTGATGTTGCAGTGGCGGATGGATTGTTCTCTCCGCTGGAGCTAAGCTTCAACGCCCCGGGCCGCCAGCTGCCCGCGTTGCCTCACTTCGAGGACTTTCCTCTCCAGACCGACCGTCGTTCCCCGATCAGCATCACCCGGCCTCCGCGAGCCGTAGCCCTGGCCGGCGAGAGAAGTCGTCCGCCTCAGCCTACTCCGCGAGCCCAGCATCGACCGTCGTCCTCGTTCCAGCTGCCCCGCAAGCCTGTGGGGTCTGGTTCACGTCGTTCGTCGCTTGCAGCGCATGAGTACCTTGGTATTGGGGAGAGACAAGCCGCCACCACCACCAACAATCACAACAACCACAACAGCAGCAGCAGCAAAAGCAGTCCCTTCATCCCTCACTTCTCGAGTCGCATTTCATCTGCCGTTGCCGTCGTACCAGGCACGAACACAGACGACCAAGCTCCACCCCGACAGTCCAACAACGCAGCAGCAGCAGCAGCAACAACAACAACAACAACAACATCATCATCATCATCCAAGCCCCCCAGAACACCACCCCACCCCACCAACCTGCAGGACAGGCCCCTACCATGCATCCCCACCCCGGAAGAAGACGACGAAACCTCCCCGTCATCGCGAAGCACAACCTCCCCCAACCATCCCCCAAGAACCCCCACCGACGACCGCGAACGAACCCCCTCCCGCTCCGGCCGCGTCACGCAATGGCTATTCCACACCACCAGCAGCAACAGCACCAGCAGCACCAGCAGCAGCCGCCCAACCACAAAAAACCAGTCCCCAGCCCTATCCCCTCCCACCTGGCTGAAACAGGAGAATCAGACCCAGAAAGGTGGTAGCAGTCCCTTCCGCATCCGCTCGCGCACCCTCAGCGGATCGACGCTCGCCTCCTCGATCACGAATCTGACCGGAGGGGTGGGGATGGGCTTCAAGGGCAGCAGCATCAGCAGCACCTCTTGCCCGGCTCCTCCTGCAGCAGCTGCAATTGCGGATACCGCGAAGGGAATCTTAAACAAAGAGCTAGGCAGTCCGTTCATTCCGCGGGTGGCGGAAGACCGCAGCGTGTACCCCACGATCTTCGAGAGCGAATCTCATCACCCGCAGCAGCGGCAGCAGCAGCGACACTCTCACCACCAAGATCAACACCAACATCAACACCACCGCGACCAAGAAGAGTACGAAGACCTGCGTCAATCCCAGTATTACGAGAACTACCGACACTCGGCCGTTGGACTTGCTTTCTGAACGCCTGACTTTCGACTGAATTGTACCAGAAGCACACCAACTCAATCGTCAATCCCGGAATATATGTCAGCTCCCTGAGCCCCGTCTTCAAAAAGAGAAGAAAAAAAAAAAAGGAAAGATACGGATACGGAACCTCCCTTCCCTAGATTATTCCCCCTCAGCTTGGTGTATGTCACTCACTATAACCCCCCCTCTTCCCAAATTTGCCAGTTCAAACTCAAGTCTGGATCTGATCTATGCTCATGCTCATGCCCATGCCCATGCCTTAATGCTCTGAGTTAAACCCTCCGATTGCGCTGTTTCTCCTTCTCGGATCACTGATGTCGGTTGCTTGAAATCCCGAAAGCATAAAGCATCCAACCCATTCATTTCTGCCGATAAGACAGGATGCTAATTCTCGATACCCCCCCACCTTTCTCCATCATCTTCACGCTCGCTGAATCATAACGTCTCTCCATGGTTTTTCTCTCGTTTAATACCCAAGGATGATAACGGGCATATCTACAGTCCCATAGATGGACATAATTGACCCTACCATACGCTCGTTCAAATTCTGGACAGTTTCGTTTCACTTCTTCGGGCTTGAGAGTGTGTAGTATGGAAGTGTAGGATGCGTGTGTGCATTCGGCTAGGAGGGAGGGGTAGTGGTGTTTCGCATGCAGTAAGGATCTTCTTCGATGCTAAGGGCCATTCTTTTGGATGGGTTGAGCTCGGAGCAAACCGGTGTAGTACTGCGTAGATAGGTATATCTCGGCTTGCCTCAGTTCTTGGTTGCAGATATACTAGGTACCTTAGGTACAGTGCGACATGTCTCGCCGAACAACTATCAATAGTAAACGTCAGTACCTTTAGCACTTACGAATTACGGAGGATTTACCAAGGGGAGTAAGCAGAAACAACATAAATACTTCACGGCCGCAACACGAACATCTGGATATCTTCAGGTATATAACAATCCAAATCGATTCCATCAAACAAACACAAACTGTCACGGTCACTGTCCAAGGACAGTATGTCAATCCTTGCGTACACCTTCGTTTCACTTGGTATCATGTCTGAAAAAGAAAAAACTGTTTCAATGGAAGAAAGAAAGAAAGAAAGAAAAAAAAGAACTTGGCCAAATCCACCAGCCGCGTGTTTGTTTCCCGTATGATATCTCATTCCCAGGTCCCCTATGGATATCCCTCAACCCGTGGCTTAAACTGAACAAGATAAGAAACATACAACAAACATCTGGCAAAAAGAAGAAAAAAAAATGACAGAGAGGAGAATATCACCGGGAGGGCAGACCCAAACAAGACCAGGAGTAGGTGATAGATGTCAACACAATAATCCTGTATTCTTTGAATGTCTTGCCTCCGTTTCCTGTTTTATATCTTTTTTTCCTGTGACGTCTTGATTGCATGCATGCACTCTGTGGTATCAAGAAGAATCCGAAAACACAAATCGCTGACAACAAATCTCAAAATAATATCAAAAGAAAAACACTAGAAAGTCTCTTGGGGTATACTGCTGCAAATTGACATTGATTTTAACGCGGTGGCCCGATTGGGGCCGGGTATCCAGAAGTAGAATTGGAAGTACTAGGACGACCACTGTCAAAAGAGGCGCGCGGGTCATGCTTGGGTGTCATGTCCCCCGGCGCGGTACCGAATGGAAATTTCGTGTCAAAGCGCGCGGGCCAGCCATTGCTGCTGCTGTGGCTGTGAGAGCTTCCGAGGACCGGCAGGTCGTCCTCGGCAAGGTTCACGCCGGAATCGTTCCATGGGTTGCGATAGCCACTGTCGCGGGACTCCATCGAAACCAAGGATGCCTTCGACGCATTGCTGGACGCATGCTTAAAGAAAGATCCTGGAGAAGCCGAGTGGTTCTTGCGACCAATAAACGAGGAGAAGGAAGAGATACTACCAGGCTTGCGCAGTCGCTCAAAAATGGACCCGCGCTCGCTGGTTTCATCGGAGAAGTTGGGTCGGGTAGGAGAGTCGGTGACGAGGGGGGCAGGAGCATGCTGCAACAATTTGGAGTCGAAGAAAGGCAAGGACTCTTCGAACGAGTCGGACTTGGGTCGCGGGATGGCGCCCTTGACTGTCGTCGCGTCAAGTCCGTGAGCCACAAGGCGCGAGATCAAAAAATCGATCGCATCCTTCAGTCCGCCGGCATTGTTGCGAGTGTATCCGAGCACCACGCGGTCTTCAGGCCCGAAAGTGGGAGAAGAGGACCCCGAGGCACTGTCAGATGTCGGAAGGTCCGAAGTTGTATCCACGTTGGTGTCAACCTCGTATTGTTCCTTCAACTTAGCGCAGACATCTTCACGGAAGTCGGGGGACTTGAAGAAATCTCGTAATTCTGCAGAGCTTTGGAAGAGGAGTTCGTGACTCTCGGGGACCATTCCCTGTAACAGTAATTAGAAATGCAATCGCAGGAAAGGCAGGATAGGACATACCAACAAGGCGTCAACCGCCTGCGGAACCTGGTACTCCGGTCCAGAGATGTTCACGACATCACTAGCAAGCTCGGTGCTAGGGAATTCGATCTTGCAGTTCCACTTCTTCTCAAGTTCGTCGATTTCAGAGATGCGGGCGAGCAATTCACGGTGATACAGGCGGTTGATGACCACTCGTTCCGAGACATACTCGGCATCCTGTTCACGCGTCAGCTGAAGGTCACCAGTGGTCAGACAAGATATAAACTTACGACTTTCTCGACCATGTCCATGATCTCCTGCTTCACCAGATCGAGACTCTGGGCATTGCGTGCAGGAGTCCGGCAGATGACGTTATCAACCTTGATATCATCGTCTTCTTTGCCCATTCCGCCGCGGTCCATGGCGTTCGAGAATTTGACGAAAACCGAGTATTTCTTCATGATGCGCTGGATATGCTGCCCACCGATTCCGATGATTCGCTTGTGGTATTGATCGGGCACATGGAAGGAGATCGAAGCGGGCATCTCCTGTTCAACAAGATCTAGGCCATTCTTGGTGGATTCGTACTGATTACCGCACACGTCGATGTAGAAGTTGTACTCGTTGAAACCATCGAAAATGATTTGCACATTGCCTGGTAAGGTCAGCCTTTTGCTCATGCGGCCAGTCACAATCAATGAACGCACTCTGTCCCATGATCTTGTTGATCTTGCCGTTTTTCTTGCCACTGACGAACTCTTTGTGCTCATTCGCGAGTTCGATCTTGACGCGCATCTGGTACTGGCTCCGCTGGACAAACGGGATTTGGTTGATCACCATCATCGCTGCCTTGACAGCGTCATCGGATCCATTGATGGTGAAAGTCAAATTGTCAAAGCTGACTTCAGCACCCGAATTGCTGCAGATGTCGGACAGCATGGTACGGACGTCGGCGGCGGATGGGGCACGGATTCCACCTTGGGACGGGTCGGGCATGATAATCCACCACGAAGCGCTGTAGAACTGACCGGCCTATCATGATCTGTCAGTGACTCCCGATAGAAAAGTCTTCCGCCCGAGCAATTACACCACCTACCAAAGCCATGATCTCGCGAACCGTGCGCTCGACGTGCAGAACCTCTGTGCCCTGAATGCGAACCACACCCCGCTGGATTCCCAGCTGGGGAAAGTGAACGTAAGATCCGTTCATCTCCATCACCTTCCGGACTTTGTCGAGGCGATCAAGCAGGATGTTGTCAATTTTGTTCGAGTTGACGATGACATCCTTCACGTAGATCTTGACCCCCATTACCAGCTCCCGCAACTTCTGCTTGGCGCGAGCAATCTGCTCTTGAGTGTCACCCGTAATGTAAACCTCATCCTCACTGCGACGGTGGGCACCGGGAGGCGTGTATCCGAAAATGCGCGGGAAAGGTGGGGGGAAGTAGATGGCCGTTCCGGTTGCCGCCTCGATCAACTTGATGTTCTTGCGAGTCCGACCGCAGACCAAAGTGTGCATTGTGAGCTCCAGCTTCATGGCATCCACGTGACGTTTGAGCTAAGAATCGTTAGTATCGCGACCGTTTCCTTCGCCATAGCAAGCACCTACAATTTGATCGATCATGATCAACACGCGAGTCTTGGCATGCTCCGCGCTCTCCATGTCACCGTAGATGGAAACCCGGAACCGCTGGTCCAGCCCATTGTCCGACGCATACCCATAAGAAGAGATCACAGCACTATCGTTGTCGCGAATCTTGGGGTTGAGGAGGAAGATATCGGTGCCAGTGTAAGCAGCCAGGGTATCGAGATGCTCCAAAACACTGGAACGGATATTCTTGGTCGACCCGTCGATAATAAGATGGACATCAACATCCACGGTCGCACAACGCTATCAGACCAGAATCATCAGTATTAAGCGAGCAAGCAGTAGTCGCCGTGGCGACAAAGGGCCATTATTGGGGCCATACCAGCAAGATTGGAGTCTCATTCAAGACCCTTGCCCGCATCTTGCGCACAGTCTCTCCATCGCCGGTGATACAGACATTCGTCGCCAATCCTTGGGGTCGTCGTTGTAGTGAGGGGACTGTTTTGGGCTCGGAAGACGTGACAACAGCCTCTACTCGGCCGTTACTGCTCTCGGTGATCTGGCGACATAACCTCCGCAGAGCCTCAACATTGCTGGCATGGACGGGAAGCTGGTGGACGGGGGTTCCTTCCGGGGTGCCCTCGGGGAAGGACCAGCGCTGGAGGGCACCAGGACTCGCGTGCAAGACATCGTCGGCATCGGGACCGGCCAGGGTGGAGGAAAACGGGACATTGAAGGAGAGGTTGACGGTGGGATCAATGCCGGTGGGCGGAGTCATCGGAGGTGCGCCGTGCGGTCGACGAAGGGAGTGGGAGCTCATATCGGTGTGCGGTCGAGACATGCCGAAAGTGGGTGTCATTCGCTCCCAGCCATGACGGGCCTGACCCGTAAAATTGGAGATCTTGTGCATGACAAGGGCGGGTCGAATCTCTAACCCCTTGAACGAGTCGAGGGGAGAGGAGGGGGAGGGTCGAGCAGCGGAGGGAAGAGAATGGCGAATGAACCGGAGGAGGGGCGAGAAGGAAAAGAGAAGGCGGGTGCAGGAGTAGGGGAACCAAAGAAAGAGAGAGAGAGAGAGAGAGAGAGAGAGAGAGTAGGACGATGAGTGAGAAAGAAGAAAGTCGAGGCGGACAGACAAGGATTAGTTTGTCGCCAGTCTCGACAGGGATGTGGTGTGTTTTGGGGGGAGGAGGGGAGGGAGGTGAGCGCAGAAGAGGAGGAAAAAGGAAGTGGTGGTGGTGGAGGAGGTGGTGGTGGTGTTAAGGTAGAATGGGTTGGGTGGAGGGGAGGGAGGGAGTGGTTTAGTTTAGTGGGAGGAGGAGGGAGTGTGGGAGGGAGAGAGAGAGAGAGAGAGGGAGTGAGGAGTGAGGGAGGAGAGGGAGTTCGACTGGAGTGAGTGACAGACAAGACGAAAGGGCGCCTTTTTGGGTAATCCGGAATGGGGTGGGAAAAGGGAAAAGGGAAAAGGCAATCAACCACCTCGACGGGCCAAAACGGGTATCGACGAGGATTGAACCTATAGTGCGTGCGCTGCGGACAACACCAAGAATAAATTCAATAAAGAAAGCAATGCTTGAGAAAATACAATGTTAAAATGAGGACGGCAATATGGAGAGGAGGAAATAAAGAATAATAGAGAATAATAGAACGAGAAAGGGTAAAGAAAGGGAAAAGTATACTGACTGGGCTGTCAATCAATCAACAAAAAATAGGCGTTGGGTTTTTTTTTTTTTTTCTGGCTGCGAGAAACTTGACAATTGATTCAAGTTTAGTCAGTCGATCAGAGCAGGGAGGGAGAGGAATGAATCAGAAGAACAAGGCGGGGGTGGAAGGAGAGGGAGGAATTCCTCTGGCCGAATTCAGGAAGAAAGGCTTGGGAGTCCAGCAAGCAAACAATCAAGCAAGCAAGCAGCAGCAACAGCAACAGCACGCAGAGTTGGATGAATCCATCACAAGAGTAGAAAAGAACAACAGCCATGGATGAAGGGGTCTTCTTCTGGCAGGGAATTCTTCCTCAGGCATCCCACTCACCCGTTCACAGCCAACTCAATCAATCAATCAATCGAATTATCAATCCATCAAGGAGAATTTATTATCGGGAGCTACCTCGTGCTTGATTTCCATAATTGACCAAACTGTGCTATAAATGTCCTGATCCTTCTCCTTCCAACCACACTCCCCCTTTGACGTTTGTCGACAACAACTAATCTTCAATCCTCTCTGACCACCTCCCTCCCCTCCTCCCCTTCTTCATCAGGCGGGACACGGCGGGTACTCAGCCCAGTGTCTAGGCCCAATGCTGGCATTGTCTAGCCAAAGTACGATCGTGACCAGAAGCAGACTAACCCTCACTAGAGTCGATGCTAATGAGTCCTGCCTACTACCAGAATAGTAGTCATCATCGTCCTGACTAGTCCAACTAGGGATCAGCCCACCCACCCAGTGCCCCCTTCTTGTCGTCCTGAAAGCTACACTATCCCTGATGAATACTTACGAAGTACAGTACAAAGCAGGGTATACTCGACTACCTCGGTCAGAGAATAACTTAGCGAAGCCTGACTCACTCACTGCCAGGCCGTTTCTGACAGAAGTCCACACAACATTCCATCCCGTCGTTCTCCATACTGGGGCAAAACGGGCTGGGATTCCCGATGACAAGGAAAAAGAAAACTGAACTGTGCCCAGCAATTTAAGAGGAGACTCAATTCCTGCCCAAAGATATTCCCACTTGTGTTTCTTCGATGATCAGGTCCAAGTAACAGTGACCTTCCCTCATGTGAAGAATCGAAGGATGGGAGGGTGTTGTGATCATCCACTGCACTGCATTGAATTCCCTCTGCACGGTCCACCCACCTTGCCCCTTTGGGTGCTGCAGGCGACTTAGAGACTGCTCTCCAAGCAGTCACGTGTAGCCATGGTTAATGCCCGGTTCTTACTAGTCTATGGGTGTCAACTTCCAACATATACGGGACTATGAAGTATAAAAATGCGGAGAAGACAGAGAGGGGTGAAAAAAGCATGTGCAACACACATAAACTGACTTGCAAGCCGAAAGTCCAGGAGATACCGGGGCCAAATCCATTGGCGCACCCCCCGGAAGTATCCCAGACCCGGTCCACTATGAACTGGCGATCCAAGCTCGGAAGTGCAGGGAAAGGGCAAGGGCAGATCACTCGAGTCCGGTCTGGCCTGGTGGCCTACCTCTATAATCAAATCAAGCTCTTTGCCGGATTTTCCTTGATCGCGAGCAAGCAAGCAAGCATGAGGGGCCCTTTCTCTCTCCAACAACAGAAGACCAGACAGGATCGACTCCTACTGGACTGAACCTCGAGTCCGATTGGGGCTGAACAATCACACAACTACCTACTCAGTAATACATATGTGTGTGTACAGTACGCCTGGAGACAGAGTCACGTTGTTGAATTTGCCACGCGTCCGAATCGACCCATCCATTTGCGCTCCTGCTGCCACACTCACTGCAAGCATAGCAGTACTGTACGTCCATCCATACATACCAGTCTGAATCACGATCTCTCCCGGGTAACGGGCTGGAATTTGCAATCTACCAGACAACTACATACTACACCCAGAATATGTGCCGTACTTGAAGGGGTGAATAATCCCCCCAGCCCGTTGACTAACTTAACCTACCCATGCATGTCAATACTCCAGACAGCAGCCACTTAGTGGGTGAGGGCTGTACTCGGTAAACCGGATTGGATGAGGGAGAGGGGGGGGGGGGGGGGAGGGGAGTGAAACACCACCGACCTTGCGTCACCGTGTATCATGACTTGGTCTCCTCCCGGCGAATCCAGGGCGAGGGGAGAAACAGTCAGAGTGTCAGACACTTTTCCACCCCTCTTCCAGTTTAGTCCCTCGGCCGTTTTCTTTGGTGTCTCTCACGATGATGATCAGCAGCAGCAGCAGCTTGTCCCGTCCCAAGTTGAATTGAATCCCCTTTGGTTTTGGAGAGGAACAAAACGGGGCTCAACGGGAACCCACGGGTATCCTAACATCGAACAATAAGTTTAGGCATGCCAGAGAACCTCCAGGGAAAAAAAACATTGGATTCGTTTTATCCAAGTCACCACGCTTAGTCACAATGACCAGCCCCGAAGCTGGTTTCTACACAGTAAGCTTAAGTAAATTATCACACAACCCAGAAAATAAAAGAAAAGCTCCCATATTGTACTCAACCAACATCGCGTCCGATTCGTGGCAGCCCCGAGGAGACTCAAAACCCCAGACTTTTCCCGGACCTCTTACCCATGGCACCAAGATGGATGACCCCTCGACTCTATCCATACTTCGAAGATTGTCAAATGACTACTCCGTACTTTCCTCCCAATCCCGTGTTGCAGATAGATAATCATCCAAGTGTTCTTCCAATGATGGCAAATTAACCACTGTACCCGACCTCGATCGATCTCGACGCCCGAATCAGCAACGACGTCATTCATCAACCACATACGCTCAACCTCAGTGGGGGTATCCGTAATTCAGTTTGCCATCCGTACGTCTGTATTGTTGCCATATGTACGAGTAAGTTACTCGTATCTATCAATCCGAGATTGTTCATTTTTCAGGGAAAGGCTGGAAGAAAAGAGAGGCCCTGCAAATCTAGATGTGATAGGTCGTTACAGATGGAGTAAGCAAGGATGGAAGCCTGGAGAGCATACGTAGTACCTAATATATATCTGCTCCGAGTGTATTTGTCCATGCCATCTCCATTACTCTCTGAACTCTGTATGATATCGATTCACCTAAGCTACGATGCGATTTCTGTTACTGGGCCAGGAGATAGCACACAATCTTAGCTTATCAACAGCTTCTCTGGAGATATAAATTGTAGCAAAGGGAATCTTAATAGAGATTGTGTGGAAGTGAACGTGTGCCAATTTCTGTCATTGATGGTGCAAATTGATCCCCATTCAGCGTTGCATGATAATTGAAGGCACACGAAGAGCCCTGATGTGTATTGCCATTAGTAACGAAATTCTTTCAGTGAGACACTTCATGTGAGCGATGGGAGCAAGGAACTATAGCGGCAGCGGCAGTGGCAGCGGCGGAGGCGGTAGGCCAGCAGAGCGGCAGAAAACAAACTTGGAGGTTGGGATAACCCGGGAGTTGAGAGTTGACGTGCTCTACCAATCAGCTACGCTGATTTGCTGTGTGTACTACCAGAGGAACGTCCATCCAATTTACCGTGGACATCTTGGTTGGATACTTCTTATTTCAAGGTTCTCTCTAACATGTACCCTCCAGAACTCATGCTCGAAATAATCACATATACTGCATCTCCATGCATAAGTAGCATGAACCCCAGTCATCTTGCTTGCTTGCTTGCTTTTGTAAGTACAATGAAATGCCCCGCGATGGGGATGAGATCTGAGAAACGACAAGATATATGGCGCGTTCACCAGATGAAAAACATCAGACGAAAAGAGAAAAAAGAAAAATACCTAATACCGCGGAGGAGGAACTCGATGAACTACATCCCCTCGCGGTGCTCCTTCTAATACGACGCGCTCCGGATTCGCCGCAACGCTTCCCTCGTAATAGCGGACAGGCTCCTCGCGCGCCAGAGGCCGCGTCGCAACATACATAGGCCGCTCCACGTACTCGCGCGGCTGCCGGGTCCCGTCGTCCAGATACACACTCACGTCGCGCGCTCCGCCGGGACGAGCACTTTCCACTCGTTGGATGACCTCGCGTGGCTCCTCATACCGTCCTGTTGGGGGACGCACGCTCGGCATCCGTACGATTCGCTCGCGGGGCAGTTCAGCCTCTTCAAGGTAATGTGGAGGTCGGCGGGTGGCGTATTCGGACACTTGGACGCTGGCGCTACGTGGTGGATAGACATTTCGGTCATCCGGGCCGGCGGCAACGGTCGCGGGAATGGCGCCCGCATAAGGTCGGCGTTCAGTTGGGACCGGGCGAGCATACTCGGTGATGCGTCGATAAGCCGGCGGAGGGGGCATGTCCTGTACGTACCTCCGACCGCCAAGAGGGTCTTCAACGACGGACGCCGCCCGCAGGCTCGCATGGCGTAGAGTGACCGCACGGTCATCGTAAACCTCACCGCGCGGGGCTCGGCTGACGGGAAGGTAATACTGATTGCCGTGTTCATCGACCATGATCCGTCGCGGAGGTGGCGCCATCATCTGACCCGTGGCCTCCTCCTCGTAGTAAGCTTCACGGAGTCGAGGAGACATCGGTGACTCTCCAGCAGGGATGTAGCGGCGTGCAGGCGGCGGGGGCAGCTCGTCATAATAGCGAACTCGTTCCGGTGCCGGACGTTCCACGATAGCGTAGGATCCTGTGCGCAGAGAATGGGGGCTAGCTTGGTCAATATACTCGCGGGCATATTCAGGTTGCCGAGCTTGATGCTGGAGACTGGCAACTCGTCGAAGATCTTGATCGTCGCGCATCGGGCGTCTGACACTGAGTCTGGAGACGGTCCTCTGAGCGCCAGGATCTGCGTGAGCATCATAGATTTCATACTCGTACCCTGGCTCTCTCATAGGCGGCTCCCTTCTCTCTATCACGGGAGGATACTGTGGCGAGGCAATGTCTATGTACACCGGTCGCTCTTGAAGTTGGCGGCTTCTGTAGGTCTGTGGGGTATCTGCAAAAGGTGGAGGCGATACGGGTTCTTCCTTGATGTATGCCTCATCGGCAACCGCGGGGACTTGCGCCTTATACGACGGACGAGACCGATCTCGATCCTCATGCAGTCTCCTACGCTTTCTAGACGTCAAAGGATAGGCAGGTACGTCAGGACTGGCGCGACGCTCCGGAGCATATTCTGAACGCGACTGTGGGACCGAGGACACCTTGGTAATCGCCAATGGAGAGACCCTAGATGGTTGTGGAGCGGCAGGCGAAGTGATGTGATTCCGCACGACTCGGACCTCATCGCCAGGCGAGACCGATCGTCGAGCGTAGCGGGCTCGTTCAACCGGTCGACCTTCCGGCGCACGTCGTTTGGTTCCGCCCGCGTATTCCCTTTGAGCCTCGTAATTGTCTTCCCTCTCCATGGGCGCGACTCCGGGCGCAGGCGGCGAGTACTCCGGTTCTTCGAACGCGTCAGATGGTTGATTGTGGTTCGGGTATTTGCGGGATGCGTAGTCGACCTCGCCATAGTGCGGCTGCCTTTGATCATAGGGTAATCGATGGCCTGCCACGGGGTAAGTATCTTGCATATCCTGATCCGATCCAGTTCTGTTGAGGGCCTCAAGCCGTTGCAACTCATCTGAATAGTTCTCTACTGGGACCTCAGTAGCCAGCTCCTCAGAGTTGGATTGAGGTGCTGGAGATGGTTTCTGCGGTTCACCCTGCTGAGGCGAGTCAGGAGCTCTACTAGAATAGAACGAGTTGTCGTCGAAGGAATCGCTGGGCTCTCCATTGCCATGGCCGTCGACCGAGGGAGATGGGTTGACCATCTCGAAGGCCTTGACGAGCACATCAGAAACGTCGAAGTCCGGCTTCGCGTCCTGTAGAGCAGCCTTCTGCCTTGACTCCTGCCTTTTTTGCTCCAGCTGCTCCCGCAACGCTCGTTCCACCCTTTGACGCTGTAGCTGTAGCTCAGCTCGCACGAGATCGTCCGACTTGGTCAAGAAGATCGGATCAATTTCCGAGGTAGGATTGGGGATAATACGCGACGCCCCCGTCACACCCGCCGGAGCCCCCCCAGCGCCACCACTCTGTGAGTTGACCGGTTTAGCATTGGAAGGGGCGGTCGGGACCTGATTCTTGGGGGAAGCCTTCTGCGAACCTCCTGGCTTTACCCGAGATGGAGTAGAAGAGGCAGGGGGATTGCGCGAAGCCGTCTTGCGCACAAACTGCTGCGGAACCTTCAATCTAGGGTGAGTTCCAGAAAATATTTCGTCACTTATTTTCAGGATTTTCTCATACTCCTGCACCTCCTGATTTGTTGTAGGTAGCCTAGTAGGTGCACTACTGCCTGAGGTTGAAAGCTGAGCTGCTGCCATAATTTAGGAAAATGACTCTCCTAGGCAAGAATTATGCTGGCCGTAAGAGTTGATAGATCAAATCACCTGAGGTTTATTGCGAGCAAGTTCTGCTGCATCACCCGTCCAGGTTGCAATCTTTAGATGCGGTATAAGCTTGACTGCCTCGCCAATAAACTTGGACCAGCTCGAGTCTTCTTTTTTCTCCTTTCTCTTTCCGTTATTCTCTTTCCTTTCCTTTTTTTGTGCTTTTAAAATGTATAAGGGGAGAGGGGGAGGGGGGGGGGGTTGGGGAGGAAGACAAGTGTCGACCAAAAGGCGAAGGAAGTTGCGGAGAGGGAAAAGAAGAACGCAGCCAGCCGTGAATATCGAGTTACGAGAACTGACTGACAAGTGACTTGCCGCCGAACGCGCTAAACTCGCCGGGGAAAAGCCGTTGTTGATTCTCCCCGACTCCCGAGACAACGAGTCATCATCCATCTTACTCGCTCAGCGCAGTGCAGTATTACTCATATCTAGCACCTTATTACTATTGCTGGACTGACCTTATTCAATCCACGGCGCATAAGCTTCGGCTATGAATCATCCCATTCTACGCGCCTGTTCTCGATCATCACCATCGTCTTTCACTTCTGGCGCACATCGCGCTATCCAGACCCCTTCCTCAACCCCGCGATTCCTGACTCCCCTCCGCGCTGTTCCAATCCCTCGGTATCACTGCCAAGGGCCCCAGTTCCGACGAACCATGACCACCACCAACAGCCACCAGTCGGCCAGCGCGCCACGGGATCCCAGACCAATTTTCTTCTTCGACATTGACAATTGCGTACGATCCCCTTCCTAACAACCCCACAAATTTACGTTGACTGACCGCCGTCCTCACTCGATGACTGCAGCTTTACTCCCGAGGTATACAACACGAATTCTCAACTCCATCATTCCCACGAAAGTAAATCGATCCAACTAACCGGGCCCTGCGATATGCGCGCGCACAGAATGCAACATTCACGATGAGATGCAAAAGCTGATCAGTGAGTCATACCAACAATCACAACCACAACCCGAACCTACGCGCAAGCACTGTTCTGTACATCTCATTAACCGAAACCCAAATCTGTCTCATAACAGACGCCTTCTTCATCAAGCACCTCTCCCTCAGCACCGAAGATGCCCACCACCTGCACATGAAGTACTACAAGGAGTACGGGCTGGCGATCGAGGGCCTCACGCGCCACCATAAGATCGACCCGCTGGCCTTCAACCGCGAGGTCGACGACGCGCTGCCGCTGGACGAGATTCTGAAGCCCGACCCGCAGCTGCGCCGGCTGCTCGAGGACATCGACCGGAGCCAGGTGCGGCTGTGGCTGCTGACGAACGCCTACGTCACGCACGCCAAGCGCGTGGTCCGGCTGCTCGAGGTGGACGACCTGTTCGAGGGCGTCACCTACTGCGACTACTCGCAGACGCCCCTGGTGTGCAAGCCCAGCCAGGTGATGTACGACAAGGCCGAGCGGGAGGCCGGGGCGTCGAGCTCGGAGGAGTGTTATTTCGTCGGTAGGTGGTTTTTTTCCTCTTCGGAGAATCCTGGCGAAATGCCTTGGAACTGCCAAAATCAAGAACCGGACCTTGCTAATATTTTCGGGATTGGTTGGTATAGATGATTCGGGCTCGAACTGCAAACACGCGGCGGAGCGCGGCTGGGCTGTGGCCCATCTTGTCGAGCCGGGCGTCCCCGCCCCTCCAGAGCCGGCTTCCCAGTTCCAGATCTCGAGTCTCGAAGAGCTGAGGACTTGTTTCCCTCACTTGTTCAAGTCGCGGTCCTGAGCCTTTTTGCACGCCTAAAGATACATTTCTTCTTCTTTCTCTGACTACTTATAGCATAGACTTTCCTGCGTATAATTTCACGGCCCACGGGCCTTGAAGACGCTATGAAGAATACGAGTGACGCTGTTTTGTATTAGATTCGTGGGTGGTGTTTGGCTTTGATAAACAATCTAAATATCAATCGATTCAATTATGGGCAGCTCCAAGTGACGTTACTATAGCAGTCGGTTCCCGTGACCGAACATCCAAGCTGAGCCCACTGCCCCTCCATCCGCCGCAGTCTCTCCACTTTCCCTCTGTTTCACACTAAAGCAAGAACGCTCAGAATCCGCACAGCCCCGACCCATTCAGATACTTAACGGGATAGAAGACCTTGGGCGCGCCGCCGACGAAATCCACCGGGATCACGCCGCCCGTCGCCGAGACGTGCCGCTCACACCCGAGCATCTCCATGACCTCGGTGCCCGGGTGATACATCCGCGTCACGTTGACCTGGTAGTCACCGGTGGCGGCGGTGCTGCCGCGGTTGGAAAACGCCGAGACGATTTGCATCCCCTCCGTGCCCTTCCGGGTGATGTAGGTGGATCCGTCGAGGTAGAGGGTCTCGCTGTGGTTGGTGGGGTAGCCTTGGTCGATGAGGAGGGCGTGGCTGCGCAGGTGGTTGAGGGTTTTCGTTAGGGTTGTGGTCGTCGTTGTTGTGGAATCCTCGATTGGCAGGGACCAGAGGGGGGAGTTGGCGGTTGCTTGATTGTGTTCTTGGCCTTGGTATACTGGTTTCCCCCGGGGAGTGGTTAGTATGGAGTGTTGGTGGTTTGGGTGGATGCTGGGGCCGGGGCTACTGGGGGCTAAACCTACCCATGGGGATCCCGTCGGTGAGGAGGGTAAATGCCAGGGCGTTTTGAGCGAGCTAGATCATGTTAGATTGGTACATGTCTTTGGGTTGGATGGCGAGAGGGAGGAGGAGGAAAGGCTTACTGCGGTATCATTCTGGACCGAGACAAACCGCGGGACATCGTGATTCTCGGCGAACGTCGCCAGATGGGTGTAGTTGTCGCACTTCTCGATCACCGTCTGTAAACTATTCACCAGCCCTGGCATGTCGCCGGCGGGCGCGAAGGCCATCGTGATGGGCTTGTAAACCGCGTAGTTGACCAGGCCTGAGACCGCCTCGTCGTACTGACACATCGTAGTGGCGTCGACCGAGTCAACCTCTCCCAGCGTGAAAACCCCAGCGGCGCGGGTGAAGTCACTCAAGAATTCGGGATCCATGTGGTTTGTTGCAGCGACCCGGAGCCCGTCGATCGAGTAGTTGCTCACGAGTTCCTGGACCCAAGTCTGGAGCATCGTCGAGACGCGCGCGTCTTCGGTCTTCAGATCGGGCAGCGCGACGGGGTCGCTGGACAGCCAGCAGCTCTGACTCTTGGTTGCGTCGCCTGCCTCGCTGACGTTGCAGTAGGGATGATAGTATCCCTCTTCGTTGAACGGGTGCAGTCGCGAATAGTCGATCACCGAGGAAGTAGTGGTGGTTTCAGTGTCGACGGCTTGCGCCATGTTGTTGACCACCACTTCCACCATCAGATACATGTCCCGTCGGTGGAGCTCATCCGCCAGCGCTCGCAGGTCTTCGTATGTCCCAAAGTGCGCGTTCAAGGCGTACAGGTCTTGCGGCCAGTGGCCGTGCCATGCCTCCCCTGCCGACGTGGTCTCGGGGATGTTCTCGACGACTGGAGAGATCTGGATTGCTGTAAACCCTAGATTTTGAATGTAGTCCAGACTGTCGATGATACCGGTCCATGTGCCCCCGCAGTACTTGGTGGGATCGCACGATGTATCCGGTGCGTTCTTGGGGCGCGCGAAGCGGTCGGTCAGGACTTGCTAAGGAGGGGATTAGGATGCTGTGCACAGTGGAATGAGAAGACAGAGAGACGTACATAGATTGATCGCTGCGCCCAGTCGTCGGTTGAGGGGACTGCTAGGACTAGGCTGGCTATGGTGGTTAGAAGTCCACCCGTGTAGATGAGACGGGCCATCTTGCAGAGTCTTGCTGTGAGGATTGACCGATCTCTGGTGGTGTAGATTTGGAGGAGAATTCCTGGGTATTTAGAAGTCCGGTGGAATTGCTGGCTGAATACCAGTACAGGCAGTAACCGGTTGAGATTTGAGGAAGCAGACCTCTGGCTCTCGCCGTAAAATTGCTGGTTACAGCATCTTTATATAGTAATCGAGCCCTTGCTGTTTAGATTCAAGTACTGCACTAGTACTAAGGCTTCATCTCAAATCAGAGCGTGATGTTTGGGTTCGCCCCTCACCTTTTGGCTGAGACAGACGTGCATACATACAGTATGAAAAACAGGCAGCTCAGTCAGTGGGCCGCAAGAATGTGGCAACAGTAAGGGATGGAGAAGAAAGAAGCAATGGAGATTGACTAAGTAACTTAAGTTGTTGTTGTCGGCGTCGAGCCCTAATGCGGAGGATGTCTGTGAATGCCTCAGGCCCACAACCCCTGTCGTCGCGTCCTCAGGCCTCCCAGGCCGGCAACAATCAATCCACTCTCCGTCCCGTCAACAACAATAACGAAGTACTCCGTACTTCACTAAAGTTACCATCTCCATTCCCTCACCCCTCCTTTCCCCTCCTACTACCCCCCTCCTCCTCCAGTCAAGGCCAACTGCGCGTCTGTCCAGGGTTCCCCCCTTTCCCACCCTGACGCATGCTTCAAGATGGCTGAACTAATCCCCGGCCATGTGGTCACTCTCACCGACGGTCGGCAGGCCACCGTTCGGTTTGTGGGCACGACACATTTCGCGCCTGGCGACTGGGTAGGCATTGAGCTCGATGATCCCACGGGGAAGAACGATGGCGCCGTACAAGGCGAGAGGTACTTCGACTGCGAGCCGGGATTCGGCATGTTCATTCGTCCCACTGCCGTCGACGCGATCATTGAACAACCGCCCGCACGGCCACCACCCAAACCCGCCGCTCCGAAAGCTATCACCACCGCTCAACCCACTCCGGCCCGAGGGAGAGCTCAGAGCGGCATCGCTGCTGGCCTCAAGAAGCCCAATGCGATATCAACCGCCAACACCAAACGACACAGTGCCGGTGCGGCAAGCCCGACTTCGGCCCTGCGAGGCGCCGCTCAGCGCTTGTCAACAAAGGTATTGCATGCACCCGGCTGGGCTGGCTGGAGAATCCCCAAACTAATGGCTGGCGCTTACTATAGTCTCCTACGAAGTCTCCGACGAAACAACTGTCAGGATCTGGGCTTTCATCCAATCGTTCCTCTCTTAGCAGCACTCCGCGACCCGCCGCAGCCACCCCCAAAGCTCGCCCGTCTATAAGTTCCAAGACGTCTATGCCCCCTCCACCGCTCCCATCAGCAATCAATCGCGCCTCCCGCTCATCGATATCAACACCCGCATCCAAGACAAGAAGACCGAGTTTGCACGCTACCGCATCTGCGCCCACGGGGCTGGCGAAACGCCCCGCAGTGCGACCAACGGGCCCCAGCAGAGCGTCGGAAGATGTGGAGGGTGAAACAAGTCCTTTGTCAGAGGAGCTCGATGCTGAAACACTGGACGTCGAGGGCTACGGGGATCAGGAGGATCCGAGTCTCAGGTCTACTAGGCCTAGCCCGGGCGCCTCACGGACGGTGAGTGGCAGCCAAAAGCAGCCACAGCCTTCGTCGCAGCGTCTTTCGACCGGTGGCGCTGTATCACGAGACCTCGATGAATTGAAAACCAAGCTTCGAGTAATGGAGAAGAAACGGGCCGACGATCGCGAAAAGCTCAAGAACCTGGAGCAATTGCAGTCGGATCGAGATAAGTTTGAGAGCATCATCCAGAAGCTGCAAGCAAAATACCAACCTCAGCAACTTGAGATCAGCGAATTACGCAAGAAATTGAAGGAGTCGGAAGCTCGGTTGGAGGAAGTCGAGCGCCTTCAGGCCGAACATGACTCAATCCTGGAAATGGCAACGTTGGATCGTGAGATGGCGGAAGAAACGTCCGAGATGTTCAAGCATGAATGTGAGACACTACGACTGCGGGTTGAAGAGCTGTCGCTGGAGGTCGAGGTCCTCCGGGAAGAAAACGAGGAGCTTGGACAGGCCATGACCCCCGAGGAGAAGTCAAGCCACGGATGGTTGCAGATGGAAAAGACGAATGAGCGTCTCCGCGAAGCTCTGATCCGCCTTCGTGACATGACTCAGCAGCAGGAGGCCGAGCTGAGAGACCAAGTCAAGGAGCTTCAACAAGACCTTGAAGACTATACGGCTATCAAGTCTCAATATGAATCGACGAAAGAGAAACTCCTTGTGTCTGAGAACAATGTTGAGGATCTGAAGCAGCAGCTTGAAACCGCACTGGGCGCTGAAGAGATGATTGAAGAGCTGGCAGATAAAAACATGCGCTACCAGGAAGATATTAATGACCTTAAGGCTGCAATCGAAGATTTGGAGGCATTGAAAGAGATCAACGATGAACTCGAATACAACCACATAGAAACAGAGAAACAGCTTCAGGAGGAGATTGATTACCGGGAGAGTCAGTACAACGAACAAAACCGGAGAATTACGCAACAGGACGAGGTAATCGAAGACCTCGAATACACCTTGGTCCGGTTTCGGGAGCTGGTCTCTACCCTGCAGGGCGACTTGGAGGACATGCGCGCATCACAGCAAATCTCTGAAGCAGAAGCTACCGATCTAACCACGCGCTCTCGTGCCATGATGGACCTCAACCTGAAGCTTCAGGCATCTGTTTCCAAGGCGCAAACCAAGACAATCGATATTGAACTTGGTCGTATGGAGGCGGAGGAAGCCACACAGCACTTGTCAATCCTCAAATTGTATCTCCCAGAGTATTTTGACAGCGAGCGTAATGCCATCCTTGCGCTTCTCCGGTTCAAGCGTGTCAACTTCAAGGCCTCACTGATGAATAACACTATCCGCGAAAAGGTTGCAGAGCAAGCCTCGGTGTCTACAGCAATCGAAGAGGTATTTGTGGCGAGCGAAGTAATGGAGAAGTTGCAATGGATTGCTGCTCTTTGTGATCGTTTCGCCAACTACATTAACAGCTGTTCAGCCGAGAGTTTTGGCAGCATGGCAGGCGCTCTGTTCGAGCTCGAGCCCGTGGAACGCACCTTGAACTTTTGGATTGAAGGGTTGAAAAAGAATGAAATCAACATGAAGAAGTGCGCAGTTGAGCTACAGCGGTCTATTTCTCTGCTCGCCCATCTTGCTGAAACCCTCCTGCCGACGACTTTGGAAACATTTGCGGACGAACTTTGCATGCGCTCCATGCTGGCTCAGTCTTACGTTGATCACAGCGCTTCGACCATTTCGCGGTTGAGGATCTTATTGCAGTCAAAGCTTGCGGCACCGGAAGGAGGAGATGAAGAAAGCGCATTCCTCTACAACAAAATGGAAGGGATTGTCACACAAGCCCGTGGACTGAAAGTCGCTATGGGAAAAATTTACCGCTCTCTGGAAGAGCTCCGCTCCAGATCCCTTGCGCTGTCACCCGATGTGGCCGGTCCATTCAAACAAGCCGAAGAAGCAGCCAAAGATCTCTCCGCTTTAACCCGACAACTCGGCGAGACAATTGTAATCATCATGATCGACGAAAGCAGAACCGAGCCTCTAACGCTAGACGAGGCGCTCAAGACGATGTCCCAAATCTCCACACTCTATGCACAGCCATCAGAAACGGGCAGCGAAAGCAGCGACGCGACCTCCCTTATCTCCAACCGGTTGCGCAGCCTGGGTGGGTTCCTCGAGGAGCTCGACTCAATCACATCCGATCTGTCGGTCACGTCTGAGTTCGAGAAGCGACCGTCGCCTTGGACCATCCGCGCGGAGGAACTCAAATCCAACAAACAAAACTCCCCAGACGCGGAAGAGGAGATCCGACGGCTCAAGAACGAGATCCACGAAGCCTCGACCGCCCTAGGCGTGAAGGACAAGACCATCGAGGAGCAGGCCATCAAAGTCGAACTGGTCGAGTCTCGGATGCGCGACGCCAGCAAAAAGGCCTCGATGGTAAAAGACCTAGAGGCGAAGATCGAAGAGCTCCAGTCGGCACACTCGGGTCTGGAATCCACTCTGCACCAACAGCGCGCGGGCATCGAAGCCCTCGAGGCCGAACGTGACGAGCTCAAGACCCGCTTGGATAAGGTCAAGCGCATTTCTGGCACGACAGGCGCCACGACGACCGCGGAAGGCGGCGTGGTCATTGACGCCGGCCTTTCGCTCGCCACGATGCGGGAGAACGAAGCCCTCCGCGCCGAGGTCGAGAGCCTGCAGGCCGCCGTGCGCTACTTCCGCGAGGAGCACCGCCGTGCCAACATCCTCGACCCGTACTCGATCCAACGCTCAGCGGACCTGCACTCCTGGCTCGACGTGCCCCTGACGCAGAACCACGTCTCCTCCCCACGTCGCGAAAAGATCCAACACACCGCCTCCGAAAGCCGCGACGTCTTCACGCACCTCCTCAAACTGACCCAGGAATCGCACATCTGCGACCTGAAGTCCACCGCTCCTCCGACAACCAGCACCACCACAACACCACGGGTCACATGGCGCCCCAGCAAGACCAAACTCCGTTACCACGTCCTCCAGCAGCGCGAGAACTTCGAGCAGTGGGCCGACTGGCGCGACGAGATCATCAGCCATGAACGCGAACAGGACCGCGTCGCCACGGCCAAGAAGGAGCGCCTCGCGCGGCGATACCACGCCGCCACGAAAAGCTCGGTCTACGGCGCCGCGGCAGGGTTCTCCCAGGGACTCGGGCATGGCATGATGGGTCGCGCGTGGCAGATCCTGGGAGGCATGGAGCACGATGGTGCGGGCGGTCGCAAAGCCGGTGGCGGGGAGAGAGGTACCGTGGTTGGTGGGCTAGACATGGGCGTGGGGTCTTCTTTCTAGATGTCATCGTCGCGCCCCTTCAAGCTACGACCCCCCCACCCCCCAGGTTTTCTTTTCCTCTTGGAAAAGAAATTCCGCCTTCTGCCTCCTGGACTAGACAGACAGACAGCGTGACCACGTTCAATCTCAATCTCATCCCAACCAAGCCAGCGAGGGAAGGCCGGTGCGCAGCGTCCCAGCCCAACATTCCCTTCCCAGATGAACGAGGGGTTCCAGTCGGCGTTGAACTACACTTTTCCCTCCGCAAGCCACTACGCGTGTTCGACGTCCTGTCTTGCGGGCCAAGTACAGCGACCAACACCCCCCACATGCGCAGGGACCTTTCTCATTGGCCCCCCTCAGTCCTTTTGAGTCCCAGATCTTAACTCCATTAAGCTGGGTACGACAAGACCCCAAGCGATCAGTCAATGCGACCGCCTATCGCTTGGATGTACCACACTCTATCACTGTCACCATATGCTGAATCTCCCAGCAGATGGAAAGCCACATACATATAACTAAGTGAGTGTTCAAGGTGCAAATGACACACTCCACCAACCAGCGCACCCGACCCCTCAGCTGAATCTGTATATCGCAACGTATGTACATACGTATCATAATGAACATGACCGTGGCATGCATATAAGTGTGCATCACACCTGATTCCATGTACCTATTCAACGTGAATATCTTGTAACATACATATATATACACATAAACGAAGATCTTCTGGTTCTAGGTCTAGTCCCAATAATATTGTCAGAATAATCCGACCCCGTGATTCAGCCCATGAACTACGCGGGTTTCCACGCAGGAATTGGTCATCTCAGGTTCTTATCACCTACAAAGACCATCAATGAATCGGTTCCATGCTCAGGAGATATCACATCGTCAACACTACTAAGTAACCTTTTACTACATAATCACTCAGCATGAGACCCCAAAAATCGCATTCAGAAATTTCGCATCAATCTATGTACGCAATGATCGTCGAAGAGGATAATAGTCGTCCACCAACCCACGAAACTCATCTAATATGGATGGGAAAATGTCTAATAAAATAGAGATAGGGGATTCGACACAGAAAAAACAATGAAACAACAGGGGAAAAAAAAGCTTTGTCCGCTCAAATAATACATCCTTGAGGCGCAGGAAAGAAAAGTAAAGGAGGCAGGAATAAGATATGCCCACACATGTAGTAATGTACAAACGCCGATGCCAAGAGATAAATGAAGCGAAACAACTCAGTGAATGCAAGATAAACAACACAGTCGAGAACAAGGTGGGAACATTTCATTGGCAACCATGTCAGAGGTGTCAAGAGGGTCAGGTAGACATGAAGGTTCGGATTGAGGGTCAGGCGGGAAGGGAGAAAGCGGCGGCGATGCGCGATGATCAATAACAAACAGTATTGACCATGGGAGGGAAATTATCGCCAAAACGGTAGTAAGGGCGTGTTTATCATGAAAGTCGAAAAAAGAATACAGCTATGCGATCTTCACCTAGAGGTGACCGGCGAGAATAGCCTCAGTAGCTGTGAAGAAGTCAGTAACCATAGATTGAACCCACAAAGGAACAAACAACACTTCTTACCTGAGTTGATGTAGGGACGCTTAGCATCCAACGCGACACCGAATCGTCGCTCAAGCTCCTGCTTGATGCTCTTTTTCGTGACCGTCATCAGATCCGCCGTGCGGAGGATGTCCCGGATTTCGGCCAGGATAGCATCGTCGCTAGGCAGATGAGACAGGTCTTCCATCTCCATATCCATGTGACGGCTCATGATCTCCGACTGGGCCAAGGACATCCGAGACGAGTAGCGAGGCATGCCGAATTGAGACATGGGCCGCGAGGGCGGGAATCCGTACTCAGATTGCATGGGGTGGTAGGACTTGGTGGCATAAGATATGCCAGAGACCTCGGAATGATCGTCTCGGGAAGTTTGTGCCTCCCACAGTTCGGCCTGGTACTCGTCCCACGTCTTCTTCGGAATGGAAGCCGGATCAAATTTGCCCTCGTCTGAGATGACGACTTTGCGACCCTTTTCTCCAGTGATAACACGGGTGTTACCCCAGGAGAAGTCATCCATGTGCCAGAAAGAGTACAGAGGCAGAGCCAGGGAAGAGATCGGCAGACCCAGCAGGTAGATAAGCATCCATCCGAGCATTTCCCACTTGCGACGGAAGATGAAGATGAGTGCCTGGAGACCGTAGATGGCAGCGAGTAGAACAAATGTGGTCCAAGGAATGGTGGAAGTATCGGTGACGAGGTAATAAATCAGATACGCAATATAAGCCAAGGTGACAGGCTGGATAACGGTACTGAGCAAGTCGACGAAGACAATAAAACGCATACTAAAACAGCAGAAACCACAGAGCTGCTGCAGAGGTACCAGCTCCATCAGGTTGTGGACGGTGGAGTTAATCCAACGACGACGCTGCGACAGGAACACAGCGAAGCTCTCAGGCGCGATAGTCCAGGCCTTGGCAGCGATGATATACTTGGTCTTGAATTTGGGATGGAACTTCATCAAGAGTGTGGTGAGATAACGATCTTCACCAAGATGCAGCAAGTTCTTCATGTGGAGTGTATCGACGCGAATCTCGGAGTAGGCCTCGATAACCTCTTTACTGACGAACAGAGGCTTCCCACTCTCTGCAGAGCGAATGCGGTACATCGTGAAACAACCTGGCAGACAAGTGACTGATCCGAACAGACTCTCAAAGGCCTTGATCATGTTGTGTGAGATGTAGTATTCGTAGACTTGCATCATGGTGATGGCCGAGTGTTTAGCGTTAGACAAAGCAGTTTCACCGCAAAGACCAATGATTTGAGTATCAGCCAACAGCGTAGAAACGAAGCGCGTTGCTGCATCCGGAGCGACGACGGTATCGGCATCGACCTGTAGAATGAATTCATAGAAGGTAGGGTTTACGCCGATGATATTGCGGATCTGGTGATACATTTCCAGCTCCATCGGGCTCATGGCCATGTTGTAGTGTACGCGGTTCAAGAATCGCATGAGTACCATTTGAGAGTCACGCTTTCCACGGTTACCAGGGCGAGCCACCTCGGAAGGCTTTCCAACCTTGACAACGACAAGAAAGGGGACAATGTGGCCTTGAACCTCGTAGAGACCCGAATAGATCTTGCCCATATTGTGCTGCTTCTGTCCTTCGCCCAAACTTTCAAAACTGAGAGGTTCGGGATCGACGGATTCTGGAACTCCTAGGATATCCAAGACAATCCTTGGGGTAGGGCGATCGTTACCTTGTCCGATAATCATACCATCGCAAATGACAACAAGTAGTTTCCGCTTGTCATCATAACGCATGCGAGCCATGGAATCAATGGCACGGCGCAGAGAATCTTCGTCTTCCGTGTAGGCTGGAACTTGACAGATGATGAACTTATCAAGATTCTCCGGGAGATTCTTCCTTGTGAACTGCAGTGCAGCAAGGAACTTGAAAACCACGACCGAAACAATGAAGATGGAGATTGCCAGAATGAAGTACCGTGCAAACAGACATTGAGCCGAGTTACGTGTATCGACATGACCCACGAAAAAGAGGTTGTCCAAGCACAGCTGCATACGCTGGCGCATAACATCGGTAATTTTCAGGTTCTCCCAATACTTCGTCAAGTCTCGACCTGGAAGGTCCTGGAAGAGAGAGACGACCAAAGTACTCATGAAATCGCGGTTGACGTCGGAAGGGACCGTCTTGCCCTCTGGGGCTTCCACTCTCCGACCTCCTGCAACGTATGTCGTCAAATCATAGACCTTGCCGTTGATACTTCCAATGTACTGTGACTTTTCACCAAGGGTCTTGATGTACTCTGGTGTGTAACCGACCCAACCCTTAAAATAATTTGATCTGAGTGAAATCATTTGCTCCTGGAACCAATCCGGCCGGTAGTCGTTGGTGAAATAGCGGAAGTCATGATACTGCATGTTGGTATCGGTGGAACTGACAGTGGTGGCAGAGCCTGAGACGTTGGTCGCTGAATAATCCAAAAGCACCGTAGGGTCCACTTCTCCTGTCGTACCGGGGCACAAAGCCGACACCTGCACAGGGAATAGACCAGTGGCATCCGTGCCTGCGTATTTCTTAAGAGCCGTTTCGGGCACGATATCGGGGTAGTGCGCGGGCATAAATTTGCCCAAATTGAAAACCACACCCCGAACTGCGACGAAAGAGTTGTGTCCATCTTTGCCATTGTGCGAGGACAGCTCGGCGGACGAGTAAACATGCTGTGTGGGACAAATCAAGGAAGGAAAGACGACAATGAAGAAGATTGCGACGAGACAGCAGAACCAGATGATCAGGTTGATCGCAAGCTTTTCACGCCAGGCAATTCGCACATCCTTGCGCTTCATACGACCGAGGAGTTTGATGGTGAAGTCAGGGATGTACCACGTTAGCAGATAGACGAGGAACATCCACCTTTTGCGACTACCAGACACGGGTATGTCTTCGATCTCTTCCATGTTCTTGTCATTGCCCTTTTCCAGCATCTGCTCACGGGTATCCAGATTCCGGAACATGTCCCCGGAGTTGAAGGCAGAAGCACCAGCCTCGGAACGTCCATCGAGATCACGACTACCAAAATACCCTTGCTTCCCTTCCTCGCCATAAATGAAACCACCTGGCGACTGGTCCGCTGGACCAAGGAGCCGGACTTTGGAATCATGGTAATTCGCGGTCTGCGGGTGAAGCAGACCGTCCCCACCTTCGTCGGAGCCTTCACCCGCAGCGTAGACGGGGACCACGCGCTCGCCGACCTTTGCAAGGTCCGCCCAGCAACGTTCGCTAAGGAAGACACCTGTGCTGCCGACCCGGGCTTCGTTCCCCGGCCATCGCTTCTCATCAAGGACAACCTCAGCCTTCTCCTTGTCACTCCCCACCACAACATTCCCAATCTCAGCCAGACCCAGGAACTCGGCGAATGGGAGGAAGACACTGAAGTCTGCGTTCCTCAGTCGCTGGCTGATTTCTGTGATGCCGAATGTCTGTACTTGCGCGCGCACACATTTGCTGTCGAATTGATTGGCGATACGTCGATCATTGGGCTTCAGACAGAAAACGAAGTAAGGGTTCAGGTTGGGGGAGCTCAGACATTTGTTGACAATGTCCAACGAAGAGAGGAACTGTCCGGCAGCACCCTGAATGCCACTGGCGATCATGGCACTCTTGCGTCTTCCGGAACTCCTCGACGTACTGTCAGCCTGACTCTCAATCTCATCCCTGTCCTCGATAGGCGGCGGTGCATCGAACATGGGACGGGAAGACGGGCCATTTTTACGCCTGGCCATGCTGGGCATGCGCAGCGGCTTCGAGCTAACCTGCGCTTGTACAATGGCAGTCTTCTCTTGGGGATGCGTAACCGTGTGTAGAGCCTCCTGACCAAACAAATCTCTCACAAAGTCGCTGTTCGTGGACTTCATGAGGTTCATCAGATCTCCGGAGATCATGTCACCGTTCTCCTCCAGAAGACCATGAACAGGGTATTCGACTTCGCCAGCAAAGTGCTTCACCGTGAATGAAGTGCGTGCATGCTGTGAGACCACACCCGTGGCTTGGCCAGCGGAACCCACGGTTATGGCGGGGTTCTTGTTTTCAAAACGTCTTCTGACCGATTCGAGGAATTGGGAGTCTGCCCTTCCACGCCTAGTCTGGTCATCGAGAATACTCAACAAACCGTTGGCGGGTTTCAACAGCCCTCGCACGGTATCAACGTTATCGAAATAGCTTGTCGCTGGCACGGAGACCTCTTCCCGTTCCAACATATCTGCCTTCCGGTCGAAGAAAGATTGCAAGCAGAAATTGTATAGGGACTCCGTCGCCGCATTGCTCAGTAGCTGGTCCAAGGTCGAGCCGGTTGCGCTGACTTGAGAAAAACCAGGGAAGTCGACGACCGAGACGGTATTGGCTACACTGTCCTCGGCGGCGCAAATCTTCTGATTAATGGTCTCAATCACATATGCCACCAGAAGAGAGTACAAGGTTCTGGCCAAATCATCCGCATTCTGCCGTGCCCCCTTGGGATCCAACATCACCGTGACGCGCTCCCGACGGATGGTCTTAGTCTTGTAGCCAAAACTGGTCTCGAGTTGTTCCACACCCAAGCCCAGGAATGCCGCAATGATGGACAAAACATCCTTGTTTCTAACGACGGTGACCTTCTCGCCACCCTCGTGAGAGTATCCGCCAGATTCTTCTGCGCCGGTCGTTGTGGCCTGCCCGCTCACGAAATCAAGCTGTCCCAGATGCAGGATCGTCGCCAACATCTGACACAGTTCCGCTATTTCACTACGGGGGAACTCCAGCTTCCTCAATGCAGTCTTGAAGTGCTGAAATCCATCGGCGTCGTTGATGCCCACCTTGAGCTGGGTAGGATGACCCAGATATCTCCATCGCTTGTGACCGATCGAGGCGGAAGACAGCTTGCCGGCCGCGGTCGAGACGTGGATTGAATTGTCGAACCCTAGATGGGTCTTCTCGGCAGCACTCGTTCCGGCAAGGAGATAGTAAAGGACGTGAAAGCTTCGTTCGCCAGTCGGAACGGAAGCAATGCGACTGCGCTCAAGTCTGTGGTCGATAATCTTACCACCGATTAAGGTGGGGTTCACTGATGAGGAACCATCGTACTGGAGTTCCAAGAAAAGCCCAGCTTTGGATGCAGTCGGCGTAGTCAGGGACTTGGTTGTCGTGAGGGTGTCGAAAACGAAGGCAGCGTATGACAGCTTCGAGGATAGAGGGGTGGAGGAGAACGAGAGGAAGGCCGAAACGATGTGAGAACGAAGGGTGGTCTTTCCGGAGCCACTCTCGCCACTGCGTGTTCTAGTTAGCTTTCGTCCCAACTGTGACGACCACCAGGGGGCTTACAGGAAAACAATGGCTTGGTTCTCTCCCCGCGCACCGAGACGTGTGAATGCCCGCCTGGCAAGGTCCTCCGCCTCTCCCATAGCACTGCCCTCTTTGTCGCCATCGGGACCTTTGGCAGATGATGTATATGTGTTGAGACTAATCAAAGCTTGCGACGACAAGCGAGCGGTTGGTAGCCCGACATGGAAGCTATAGTGTCTTACCGTTAGCGACCTGCATTTCTTTGAGGAGCTCACATGGGCTTGGTTACCGGCTGGCCAAGTGTGCAGTCAAATGTGTGTCAGACTGCAGATGTGAAGGTAACGAGGGTAGTGAGGACTGTGCATGAGACGGGGTGTGTCCCGCGGTGGTATGTGCAACCATGTTCACAGTGTTTACGCCTCAAGACCCAGGTCGTGGGTCAGGCCGACGGATGCTGAAGCTGACCACAATAGCGACCTCTAAGGTATCTTGGAGGTGAGAACAGTTGGATCAATGTCGAGTTTAGTGGAATCCTTCCTTGCTATGTTCGGCCGAAGTAGAACGCGTGTTATTATTCCGGGCTTAGGAATGTTGCGATTACCTCGAATGGACAATGCTTGATAGTCAGTCAAAATAAAATAGGTACATTTCCTGCACTGATCATAGCAATTTGCAGGGAGAGATAAATTGAATGATGCCTCAAAGCTTTAAGGTCGAGAGAAGCGACTGGAGCAGCCCGCAGACTTGGGGGGTAGATGGGAGGGGGGGCGCAAGTTGGTTTGAAGCGATTGTAAATAGCGGGCGCCAAGTGAGATGAAGCGAACGTCGATGAGGGGAGGAATGGGAAGGAGATTAAGATTAGGATTATCAGATGCCAAACACAATCACAACAACCACAAAAACGGCGAAGGAGCAACAGCGAGATGGGAAAATCGAAGGAGAAAGAGGAAGAAGCAACACCAGTTAACAACGGGTAGCTTTTTCTGGGGACGGACAGACAAGACAAACGCATCGGACAATGTTGATAAAGGGAATCCACTCCTGGTCCAGTCTGGTAAGTTTATTACCGTATGGGGTAAGTCCGTATGGATGGATCTTTTTATGGGCGGCGGGGGGAAAAGGGAAGAAAAGAAACACAGAGAAGAAAAGAGGAGACTTCAGTTTGAAAGTTACTAGTAAATGGTAAAGGGCCAAGGGTTACGTATTTTTCATTCACCATCCTCACTGTTCTTCTTCTTCTTCTTTTATCTTCACTAATTGCCGGGCAACCTGCTCTTACGGTAGTAGTCTACATATTAGCAGCAGCCTTTCTTCGGCCATTACGAAAAATAGAGCATAAAATCCCATCCCATGCTGCTAGGGGAGAATTATTTTTGGAGGCTGCATCCTGCACCTGACAGCCGAGGGCCCGCGGAGGGCTGTACAGAAACCGGTTGGGCGAAGCTTCCCTGGGAATGGATTGGTCTGGTCTCTGGCTCAGGCTCGACTGGCTGACTGGCTAACTTCTGGTTAGGGTCGGGGGGGCCGGGCCCGGAGGTACCAATCGTTTCAATTTCAATCAATAAACACTTCTCTGGAGACAAGACCCATAATTACCATTGGTCTTGTCTTTGTGTTTTCCCGCGAGGTCTCAGATAGAATACCTCTTACCTCTTCGCTCTGCTCTTCTGCCCGCCCCCCTTCGAGTCAGAATTAGAATCATCAGCTGAGAATGTGAGACGAGAGCTGCCCGTCCAATGCTGGCGCAACAGAAACAATCCCATGTCAATCATTCAGCGCCACCCGCGCAGGGTCGAAAAGGGGGGGAGGGGAGGGGCTCCAACTTCCCTGACTGATGCAGTTGCCAGTCAGGGCGGGCTGGGCGACGCGCGGATTCTTCCACGCATCGTATACGATGTGGACGGTGGACGGTGAACGGTGAACGGGGTGATAGAGACAGTGGGCTCAATAAACCCATGCGGCATGCAGAGAGCAGACGTGCAGTCATGATGATGATGGAGACTCGGGAAGCGGACAGGATCTGATATGAAGATCCTCCAGAAACAGAGACATTTGAGATCATAAGTAGTCAGACTCGATCCAGTCTGACGGTGATGCCAAGTTTGGAGCACCACATTTGGTGCCGTCTGTGGTTGGTGATCAGGATCATCCGGGAGACCCTGAGCAGTTAGCAGTGCAATCCAACCCAAAAGGAAGAATTTGAATGGAGTGGAGCGATCATTCGATCTCATTCCCCAATCCAGCCAAGCGTGAAACTAGGGGTGTTTTTGTGACCAACAGCATTGACGAGAAAAAAAAAGTGGGAATATTTTTTCTTCTTCTCTTTTGCCCGGACCCACGAAGCTGGGGGAGAGGGAAGGGAAGGGAAAGAAAGAGACAAACCCCCCCGGCCCCCTTTCGTTTGTTGTTTTTTTCCTCCCTCTCCAACAAAGAGAGACAGGGTTCATTAGTCAGCCGTGCACCCTTTCCTCCCTCTTTTGCCCCCCTCTCTGTAGAGCGTCTGTACCCCGACGACACTAACTTCTGTAGCACCAATCTACAGCAATTTATTGATATTGACGGGGAGGAGGCAATTCATGCGAGGTGGCCAGCTAGCGACAATGATATTACCGTAGTACCCGTACCATTACAGCATCCGAGTCAGGCTTAACTTTCTTACACGTATCACCATGGTTTGGACACTTTGCCCGTGTAGTAGTCAGACTGAGAGGTGTGGGGTGGGTATCTTGCAGTCTGGTAACACACGAACAGACTCAGCACAGCATTTATTGAGTAGGCATGGATGGAAGTGTCCTGCAATGACAAAAATAAAAAAAAATATCCACGGCCGCAGCCAATCCGAGATGAACTGGATGCAAGACTGTCTCTGAACAGCATATGACAGCTACCCCTCCATGCTGGAAGGGAATCCAGAAATAGCAGAGCGGCGAGACTGCTAGCCAAAGGGTGGCAAGAGAAGGGCAGCCACCTTAATTGGCCTCCTGCCTGAGACAACAACAGTTGTTGTTGAAGAGGTGTGAGACAACAACTCAGTTTTGTTGCCAAATATAGGGTTTCCCTCCAGGGTCTAAGGCCATGGATCAATTCTACTCCGCCTCACCGATTGGCTGCAGCCAAAGTACGTTAAGCACGCCACATGACATTGGTCGAGCCTCGCTTGAAGAAGGGAAAAGATAGAGGAAGTGAAAGAGATAGAATACACACACATTGCACCTAGTAATTTATTATCTCCCGGTGAAGAGAGCAATGGAGTCAGAGACACAATTAGGGGGGGGGGCAAGGGAGGTCACTAGTCGACTGCCCATTTGACCACCATTCTACCACCTGAGTAAGGTCTCCTGGCCCGAATACGGAGACTACGTTGACTACCCATGGATAGTTCTGCTGCTTAGTATCTGTCTCCTGCACTTGACCGCTTAAAGTTAGCTAGTTTGAGTGGCTAGTAACTGAGGAACTGATCGTCTCTCCTGGTCATTGCAAAAATACTTCCATGACAACGTTGGAACCCAAACTGCGCCCGCAGGGTGGCGGGTATCTGCTGGGAGCTAGTGGGCAACTGGTAAACTGGTAATGTGCAGACAGGGGCAGTACTAGTGTCGGCGGTAAGCGGTAATCTACCCCCAAAGTCCCAGTAATTTTCAACCCGCTCCGACCCATACTTACCCATACCTGACTATCCCGATCGAGCTAAGCTCTGACTAGTAACAGAGAGAGAGCGAGCGAGAGTATTGGTAGTATTTGGTACAAACAACATTCGATCAATTCGCTCCTCTCTGCTGCTGCCGCTGCGTTGCTGCTTTCTTTCCTGCGCTGTTGCTTTGCATCTCCATCTTCATCTTGGCTTTTGTTCCCTCCATTGCTGCTTGTCCTGCATTGTTTAATTCCTGTTTCCTGCGGTTCTTCATCTCTGTCGCTATCCTATCTCCTCATCTCCCTCTAGTCTTTCGCTTTCTCGAGCTATTCCCCCCTCTCGAGCAATCTAATCTTAATCGATCGATCCTCCAACATTCGCTACCGACTACCGTCCCTGACACTCGCTCAGAAGACATTCACCTGATACGTAATCGGGACTTGATAGACTATTTTGGTCGGGCTTTTCGATATTCACACAACGAAACACGGTTTTTATTCTAACCGACAAGCTACAGCCATACAACCACCAAGACATGCTCATGGCTTGATCGCCCGCCTTCGAATCAGCCAACCCAAGACCCATGCTATAACCAGCCACCCAGCCTATACATTTATTGGACACTGGATCGGGCTGCTTGGGCAACTTCTTTATTACAAAGTATTTTGACTTGACTGTTGTCAGCTGCTGTGAACAGGAACAACAATCATGTCCACTCGCTTTTCCGTTTACTCGGGCCATTCCGCTGGCCTGTCGACCTCGCGGCCAGGTGCACACTCGCCGAGCCCTGTAACAACAACCACACTTCTGAATGCGCTGCATGCCTACTACAACTCGGCTCAAGCATATCAGCTCGACGCAGCGACAAGCCTGGTGGTAAATACCTGGGTCACTGCCTCGCGGGCAACCTCGAACGGACAGGATGGAGGCACGATAGACCGTGAGATCGCGCTCCGGGCCTGGGAGCATGCACGCCGACGAGCGGAGGACGGCTGCATTGTGCTTTGGTATGCAAGATCCTGCTGTGCACAAACTTTCTCAGTCTGCTAACTTGCAACAGTTCCGCACACCAGTCGACCCCTTCCATATTGGAGCCATTCCTGGCAGCCCTGCCACTTTCGACCCCGAGTGTCACCTTCACCGCGCTGACAGCTCTTCGACCCTTCGTCTCCGCCGTCACGTCCTTCAACCCTTCTTATTCCCTTTACTCCGCCCTTGCTGCTCGCTACTCCTTTAGTCTGAAAGGGGACATTGTAGGATTGACGTTGTCGCTGTCAACATCCGGGATCAATGTACGCAAGGGACTTCTTGACATCGCCCCGGAGCCGGGCTTTCGTGCGTTTGACGTCTTCTACTACCTCCTAGCCTCCGTGTCTACCCCCGCCGAGCGCGAATTTTTAAACCTGAAGGACGCATCGGAGTATTCTCTGCTGAGCAAGTCCGGAACCTACACCCCACCATCCTATCTCCCGACCGCGGACGATGCCGCTGCAGCAGAGGATTTCCGGGCCGCGCTCAAGGCCATCGGCATCAAGGGAGCCTCTTTGCGTGGCCTACTGGCTACACTGGCCGGATTGCTGAAGTTGGGCGATGCGGCCGGGTTGCTCGTCGATCAGGAGGACCTAGAGGAGGCATGTGAGGAGGTCGGCGGCCTCCTAGGGATCGACCCGGAAATTCTAGCCCGCAAATGCTCGACCGATGAACGGGAGGTGCTTATTGCTGGAATCTACGAAGCCCTCGTCGATTGGGTCATTGGCAAAGCGAACGAGGCCATTTCGAGCGAGCTCCAAGCGATGCTGGAAAGTAGCCCCAGCATGAGCGGTGGTTCCGGCCCTGGAGGTCAATGGACTGACGACGACACTGTCGCCATCACGGTGGTGGACATTCCTCGACCCGCCCTGGGCAAAGCATTGGCAATGAGAGAAGTCTTCGACGATAGCATTGGTATAAACGCGGAAATGAAGGAGGACGGCGTCAGCGTTCCTGCGGTTGGACATGCAGTTTCCAACGACGTGAACGCGGCAGTTGCACAGGTCGAGCCCGACCTTGGCATTACCACCGGAAATGCCTGGCGAGAACGTGAATATGAAATCGCGCGGCGACAGGAGGTACTCGAGAAAGTCGGCTTCGAGGTGGAAGGGGACTCTTTCCTCCGACGCCTTTTACTGCCTGTCGAGAGCGAAGGTATCACGGTTGGCCAAAAGGGCCGCTTCGATCTCATCAACACTCTGGGAAGTAGCAGAGTGTGGCATCACATCTCTTTGCACCCAACGGACGAGCTTCCCCAGAATCTCAACCCCACCCTCCCGGCTGCCGGCTGGTCGGCGGCGGCAGTCTCCCGTCAATTGCGCGAATGGCGGTTTGCTGAATGGGCCAACAGACGACTCAAACATCTCGATTTCACCGCGGATTTCGATGTGGACGAGTTCGTGAGCCGTTACCACCGCCTTGGCTGTGCCGACGGCAGGGAGGGGGTTGAAAGCTGGTTGATGGAAAGAGGATGGACCAATGGCGACGCGTTCGTCGGTCACCAGCGTATTTGGATGCGAGAGAGCGCTTGGTGGGAGGCTGAAACGATGCTCGATCTCAAACCGGACGAGTCGCCGCCAGTGAACCCGTTTATCTACGGCAGCACTATGCTTGATCCGCATTACGCCGGGACTCCCGTCGTAGAATCGACTAGCCTTCTTGGAAGCCGGGATAACCTGCTCCAAAGACAAAGTACTCTCGTGCCCAGTGTTCATGGCGGCCTGGCCAAGTCTATTGCGCCCAGTGTCCCCAACACTCTTCACATGAGTGGAGGCGACTACGGCCTCGGCAGCAAAGGTGATACGAGGAAATGGGACGAGGATTATGCCCGGTACGAAGGCGAGCTTGATCCGGAGTTCGGCGACGGCAAGCACATCGAGAAGAAGCCCATCACCAAGGTGCGACGTGCCTGGGTTGCCTTTGTGTGGGCGTTGACCTTCTGGATCCCCTCTTTCGCCCTCCGCTGGTTTGGTCGCATGAAACGTCCTGACGTCCGGATGGCCTGGAGAGAGAAGTTCGTTCTCGTCTTCCTTATCCTGCTGTTCAACGGCATTGTCTGCTTCTATATCATCGCTTTCGGCGACCTTCTGTGTCCGAACAAGAACAAAGTCTGGAACGAAAAGGAGCTTAGTTGGCATGTGGGCAACAATGACTTCTACGTCAGTGTCCATGGCAACGTATACGACATCAGCAAGTTCTGGCGTAAACAGCACAGTGACAGCAGTATCGAGACGACCACCTCCAACATGAAGCCGTTCGCCGGAGAGATCCTGGATCCGTACTTCCCTCCTCCGCTGACTCGTTTCTGTGGTCACTTTGTCACGGAATCGTCAATTCAAATGCAATACAACGACACCAGCGCCATTGAATACCCCAATGCGGAACACAAGTGCGGTCCCTATAACACTCCAAGCACGACCACGGCGCTACACAACATCACTTGGTACGAGGATATCTTCCTGCCCAAGATGAAAGGGTACTACAAGGGGCCTCTTGTTTGGACCAGGACGAAGGTCAAGGAGGAGGCTGACTCAAGTTCGCGGTACTGGGTCATTGTCAATGAGAAGATTTATGATCTGACGGATTATTTCTACACGGCGGATTTGTTCGATGACAGCAACGGTTATGACTATCTTCCTAGCAGCGTGACCACGCTTTTCAAGAACTATGCCGGTGAAGACGTCACGTCGAAGTGGGGAAACAGCACGGATTTCCGCAATGCCCAAACATGCCTAGACTACGTTTTCTACAAGGGCAAAGTCGACTTCCGCAACAGCCCGAGGTGTACGGTCAACAACTGGATCTTGCTGGCATTCACGGTGATGATCTGTGCTGTGATTGTTGTCAAGTTCCTTGCCGCTCTGCAGTTCGGTACCAAGCGTCGGCCTGCTCCGCAAGACAAGTTCGTTATCTGCATGGTCCCTGCGTACACCGAGGGTGAGGATGCGCTGCGGCAAGGTCTGGACTCGCTTACTGCCCTTGAATATGATAACAAGCGGAAGCTCATCTTCGTGATCTGTGACGGTATGATTGTCGGTGGTGGTAATGACCGGCCAACTCCCAAGATCGTGCTGGATATCCTTGGCGTGGATCCCAAGATCGATCCTCCTGCGTTACCCTGCAAGGCCATCGGACAAGGAAACGAGCAACTGAACTACGGAAAGGTATACTCTGGTCTCTACGAATATGAAGGCAATGTGGTTCCGTACATAGTTGTGGTTAAGGTCGGTAAGGAGTCGGAGCAGAGCAAGCCAAAGCCTGGAAACCGTGGCAAGCGTGACTCGCAGATCCTATTGATGCAGTTCCTGAACCGCGTTCACCATCGCTCCCCCATGACGCCGCTTGAGCTTGAGATCTTCCATCAGATCAACAACGTGATTGGCGTTGACCCCGAGCTGTACGAATACTGCCTGATGGTGGACGCCGATACTAGTGTTCGGGAAGATTCCCTGAATCGACTTGTCGCTGCATGTGCCAATGATGCGCGGATTGCCGGTATCTGTGGCGAGACCAGTCTTCAGAACGAGGAGCGGAGTTGGTGGACGATGATTCAGGTCTACGAGTACTACATTTCTCACCATTTGGCGAAGGCATTCGAATCGCTGTTCGGCACCGTCACCTGTCTTCCGGGATGGTAAGTTCGCTGATACGAGAGTGTTTGATGTGTTACTAACAGGCTTTAGTTTCTGCATGTATCGCTTGCGCACCGCCGACAAGGGTCGCCCCCTCATCATCTCCGATCAGGTCATCGTCGAATATGCTGACCCTGAAGTGGACACCCTTCACAAGAAGAACCTTTTGTCTCTGGGAGAGGATCGTTTCCTGACCACCCTCATGACGAAGCATTTCCCTCACATGTCCTACAAGTTCATCCCCGATGCCTACGCCAGTACGGCCGCGCCCGAGACATGGTCCGTCCTGCTTTCGCAGAGACGTCGTTGGATCAACTCCACCATCCATAACCTGGTTGAGGTTGCGGCCTTGAAGGATATGTGTGGCTTCTGTTTGTTCAGTATGCGGTTCGTCGTCCTGGTTGATCTTATCGGAACGCTCATTCTTCCGGCTACGTGTGTCTATCTGGGATACCTCTTGTATCTGGTTGGAAGTGGTACGGGTCAGTTCCCGATCATCTCGATCATTATCTTAGCGGGTGTGTACGGTCTGCAGGCGATTATCTTCCTTCTCAAGCGCCAGTGGCAACACATTGGATGGATGATCATCTATCTGTGTGCCTACCCGGTCTACAACTTCGTTCTGCCGCTGTACTCTTTCTGGAAACAGGATGATTTCAGTTGGGGTAACACGCGTGTTGTTATCGGTGAGAAGGGCGACAAGAAGGTTGTGGCGGTGGAGGAAGACAAATTTGACCCGCGCAGCATTCCGCTGCAGCGCTGGGACGACTATGCTCTGGCCAACAACCTTCCCGGCCGTCGCGGTGACTTTGGCATGAGCCAGGAGAAGCTGTACTCTGGGCGATTTGGTGACGAAATGGCGATGGAGATGGACGACATGCATTCGCAGTATTCGTCGGTCAAGCCTGCGTCGACGATCCTGACGGGCTTCCCCGGGCAGGGCCGCCACAGCAGCCCTTACATGCCGCCCCAGTCGCCGGCCCCTTTCCTCAACACGCCGGGCAATCGCCAATCGCATCTGTCCAGTTTCACGAGGTACACGGACAACCCTCACCAGAGCAGCCACAACGTGTCGCGCCACATGTCGATGGGCAACTTGAGCCAGTTCCAGGACAGCGGCATGGCGACGAACCGCCACAGTGTGGGATTGATGCAGAGCACGGAGAACCTGCTCGGCGGGCCGCGACCCAACTCGCGCAGTCCGGTGGGGGGTTACCCCTCTCGACCGGTGAGCGCGTTCGATTTCCGCGGGGGCAGCGGGCCGGACGAGGCGTCGATCACGGAAGCGATCCGCAGCTGCTTGGCCGAGGTGGATTTGGACACGGTGACGAAAAAGCAGGGTAAGTAATTCTGCCTGGGCGCTGGAGGTTGTTTCGGTTGCTAACTACCATGGACAGTGCGCGCATTGGTTGAGCAACGATTGCAAACGACGTTGATGGGCGACAAACGGGCCTTCCTGGACAAACAGATTGACCACGAGCTGGCCAATATGTAGTGGAGCCGTCAGGGTCTGGTTCAGTCACGGTTTACTTGTATTTTTGTCATTTGTTTCAACATATACATAGTATTTTCGGGCATGCACGGTGTTGGCGTGATTATTCTAGCGATTAATGGATGATTGGTGCATACAGGTTGCCAACGTAGGACATCTTTGATGCATGCGTGGAGGTCGTGTGCCTGCGTACCTGCATTGCGTCTGCATCGATGCTGCATAGATATAATAGACAAACCTGCCACATCACGCAAACATTCAATCGTGCAATCCATCCATTGGCACAAATCCCCAACAAACCAAACCACGCCCCAAAGAAGAATCACCACCACCGAAACCACCCACTCCTCCGCTTCCCCAGACTCTCATCGTCATCCTCTTCCTCCGTTCTTCGAGTATCATCCCGCCTCACCTTCCCAGTCCCAACCCCATTCCCAGCTCCATTCACAAGCCCTGCAACCCCCTCCCCCCTTCCATCCTCCAAACCATGATAAAGATCCCCCTCTACCCCCGAATTTCCCTCTCCCTCCCCATCCCCATATCCCTGCTGATGATGCGGACCCTCAAGCAGACGAAGTGTCTCCTCCACCACCAAAAGCTCCCGCTCAATCACCTCCGCCCAATTCTGCACGTCGCCGATCTCCTTCAGGGCGTCGCGCGCCGCGTCCGCCGTCTTAGTGAGCTGGGCGTTCTGCTTGGCCAGCGCGGCCGTCGCCCCCGCCAGCGCGTGCTCCTGGCGCTCGAGGGCGGAGGCGTTGTCGTGCAGGATCCGGGCGCGCTCGCGGAGGTGCGTTTCGTGCGTTTGGGCCGTGCTGCGTAGGGTAGCTGTGAATGCGGTGCGGGCTTCGACTGCTTGGGTTGTTGTTGTTGTTGTTGTTGAGGTTGAGGTTGAGGGGGGGGGATGGGGGGGGATGGTTGTGGTTGTGGTTGTGGTTGTGGTTGTGGTTGTGGTTGTGGTTGTGGTTGTGCTGGGGACAGTGTCGGGGGGTGCGGGTGCGGGTGCGGGTGCGGGGGTTGTATTTGTGGCTGTGGGATGGTCGGGCATTTTGGGTTTGTTGTGGAGGTAAGGGTGAGGGTGGTCTGTAGTGTGGTTGGTAGTGTGGTTGGTAGAGGGTGGACTTGGATGATGGTGTAGTGGAGATGAGATGCGCTGCTGGGTAGGTTGGTGGAGGGGGTATGGGTATGGTATGGGTATGGGTATATCCTGGTCAGAGGCAGGTGACTTATAGTACTCGAGGTAGGTTGCTCCGGTGTAGGTCCGGTACACTGTTCTGCAGCTTAACGTATGTTGTCAAGTGAGGACTATACTGCTTTGCTATCCTGGCTATCCTGTACAATGAACCACTATAGTACTTTAAGGTCATGAATTCACGATTCGAACCATGGGACAGGAACAACCCGCCCCGCCCCGCCCCGCCTCGCCTGCCTTGCCTGCCTTGCCTTTGCCTCCCTTATCTACACAGCAGTCACCCACACCCATCCACCAAGTCCACGAAACCCTGCACCTGCACCTCTATCGTGGTATCAGAAACAAAAGGATTTCAAGCGCAGGTTTTCAGCCCCCAATCCCCTTTCTAGTCCTTACCTACTCAGTAGTGACAACCAACACCCAACGATATCGGAAGTACCCGGCCTTAAGCATAAACTCCGACCAATTATACATCCACCTTCACCTGATACCTACATATACACCCCTCCCCTCCCCTCCCCTCCCC